CTATGATCACTTTCTTCTCTGCCTTAGAACCCATTTACAACGACGAGCATAGGATGACAACCTCGGTGATCAGCTTGTCATATTTGGGTAAATGTAAACAAACTCTGGTCACGAATTGAGTAGTCACGCAATTTTTTTCTTGGTGCTGGTGGAAAGGTTGCAAAGGGACTGGGGAGAAAGAAGTTGCAATGGCGGGCGAATGAACGTGAGTGAAAGCATCTGAAATGTTTACAAGTCAAGCCCGTATCGACAGCAAAACTGGCCCAGATAATCTCGGACGATTTGAATATCTACAGGCTTTGGTAACGGAATTTCAAGATACAGACAAACAAGGTAGAGCCTTTTCCTCCGACTTAGAACTGCAGATATGTACATAGCCATCACAAAGACCAAACTTTACAAACAAACGACACCTACAGACAATTTACCAGTCTCTTCAAAGCCAGATAAAACCTATTCTACTCTCACATCGCCGACCTCATCGACGTAGGCCTACAAGTTTACACAGAAACCTGATTAATTCGGAAAAAGACAAAGAAGCAACAACCAATAAAATGGTCAAGTTCATGGCCCACCAACTTCGTTTTTACCACCTCCACAACTAAAAGCTCCCAACTAAGCAGCACAATACATTCAGAAGTGAACACTGCACTCTGTTAGTCCCATGATCCGTTTTTACAACTGAATTGACTTGATTTTTATCTAGGTTCTAAGGAAGAAATCTTGGCCAACTTAGCCAATTTTGGGTATGATCCTATCAACTATGGTCACTTCAGAAAGCTTAATGTATTAGACCTTTTTATGGGTAAGAACAGCAATATAATAGGAAATTCATTTTCCTCAGAGTTGAACAATTCCACTTCAGATGATTTACATTTAGTTCTAGCCAGAGAAAAGAAGAGATTTAATATGTCTGATAGTAAACCAAAAGTTTGGAATCAAATGGATATAGAGCTCTGATTGTCAAGTTTATTTATGCATGGAACTGTTTTGAGCACATTGTAGAGTTTTTTTGAATAGTTGGTATTTACAAACATACAGTCATGCTTTATATAACATGTACCTTGTGCTCTCAGTAAGTGGAAGAAGGAGATGTTGATTGAAATAAATACTATATATTTACTCAAAATTTCTCCTTGTGATGACAAAAAGTAGCCTTGTCACCAATAATTTTTGTCTGATACTTGCAGATATGCTTACAGAAGAAAATGAAAAGTTTGTTGAGTTTGGGATTGGAGGATTATGTAACTGCAGTTTGGGTAAGAAACTGATGAAAGAAAAGTTTAACAGTCATGCGTAATTTTCTTTGGCTGATGATGTAGCTTTTATGTCTCTCAGATAAGGAAAACAAACAACACATCATTGAGAATGGTGGAATACCTTTAGTTATTAATTGTCTGTCCAGGTAACAACACATTTCATATTTATTTGATTGTTGGGTCATTAGTTCTGTTGGGTCCTGGTGTTAACCCTTTGACTCCTCTAGAGTGATAAGCAGCTGATTTCTCCCTACATTCTCTTCCCTGAATCACACATTCAGGTCATGAGAATTAAGGAAATGATCATCAACTGAAGGAGCTCCTGGTTGTTAAACAAATTCTCCTTGTCAGCACCTTAGGACATATATAGAGAACAGTATGGAGAATATGCATACTGATTTTAGGGTGTTAAGGGTTAAAGGATGTACCCAAGAGAGTACTAAGGTAGCGTGATTCTCAGACAGTCCAGGTCACTCTTACAGAGAAAGAATGTGGCCACCAGCAACCTGGAATGTCTGAGTATCAGGGTATTTCCAAGGGCGCTTTTTACCCTATCTTTGGAATGTAGATAGGTAATTTTTTGTCAGTCTTGTAAAATAATAATGTATAGCCCCAAGTGTACTAAAAATAATTTTTTTACTATCCCCCCACCTCCTTTTTGGAAGGAAAAAAGACTACACCCCTGTTCTCTTGAACTTCAGTTGGCGATACACCCGATTTTAGACACTGATTGCCACGATCAACGAAAATCACTAGGTGTATATGGTGTGGCAATTTCAATTTTGGCTTTTGGCCATGACCAGCAAATAAAATTACCAGGTGTGTTGCTGGCTTTAGCCTTAGGTGCATCACCATTTTTTACCCTGATAATCTCAATGTTTTTTAATGAGAGTGGTAGTCTTGTGAAGGGCTGTGATGACAACGGATTGCTGTACGTTAGGAGGCAACATGCATTTCAATTGAAATACAGAAGTTGTGGTTTTTTACGCATTTTATGTTTACCTCTCAACTTCTTTTAGTTCCAACGAGGAGACCGTTTTGTCAGCCATAACAACTCTAATGTTCCTCACTACACCACAGACACAGGAAGGTCAGTTACTGTTTAAAATCTAGTTGGTGTCAACTGTTTGCCACCATTATTTATAGCAAGAGAATGCATTCTTGCTTTGTATGTCAGCCTAAGGTAAGAAGTTTTGCAGACAAAAACATGTGGAACAATCTATTTAACCAAACTCAGTTAATAAATATTTCAGGAGGAGTTATTAATTCTTACAAGGGCTCTGACTGGTAATAGGTTGCATTTACTTCAAAATAGGGCATTTATTTGTGGCCAGGCAAAAATCAGAGCAATTCTGAATGAATTAAATTATTGAATAAATTGTTATTGATATGTTTCACAGAAATCACATCAGAACCTGTTGTGGACTGCATGGAGAGATTTTCAACATCCTCAAATGCTAGACTAAGTAACCTGGCTAAGGTATTCCTACAGGTATGAGAATCAAAGACAGGTTTCTTAAAATGTTGCCTTATTAATCTTCCTTTTGACCTATAAGAATACAGAGATGTACAAATTATAATGCATGATTATGATAAATGATGATAATTTTAAAAAAATTATAAAATAATTCAAATAGTACACCTTTCTGATTGACCATAAAACCATTTTACATGAGCATATGTAAACACGGTTTTCGTTCCTCTTTCATTAGTTATTTTATAAAAGAAATATAAAATGGTTTCCATGTTTACATATCCTGATGTAAACACTTGAGAGGTTGGGAGAACACTCGATTAGCTGGAAACCACTCCGCTTCGTGTTGTGGTTTCCTACACTTATCTCGTGTTCTCCCAACCTCCTGCGTGTTTACATCAGGCTATGTAAACACGGAAACCATTTTACATTTCATCATTACAAAATCACGATGTTGTGTTGGACTGAGTGACAAGTACTTGGCATTGTTGTGGTGGATTGGACATGACAACTAAATAATAATTTCTGTGTAATGCATGATAAAGGTTTTTTTTTCCTCTTCTCTAAACAATGTTTTAACCCTTTACACCCAAACATCAGAAGTCATATTCTACAAATTGTTCTCTGTTCATTTCCAAATGTACTCACAGGGAGAATTTGTTTGAATATCAAACTACCTTTACAGTGGTGATTGTTTCCTGTATTCTTTTGACCTTAACATTTCATTCAGGGGTGATATTGTCATAGAAATTAGATGCTAGTCACTCTTTGATGTCAAAATGTTAAAAGGAAATCCAAATTGTTTTGCAATCCAAAATGAATATGCCAAGGAAAGCATCCAAAAATAGAGCATTTTCTCCCTTGTGCACATTTTATAAATTTTGTTTGTATGACTACCATCAAGGGTTACAGAAGGAATTAACCCTTTAACTCCCAGACCAAAGTTGTAATTCTCCTTACTGTCAACCATACAATTCTTATATTGTTAGTTCAGAGAATTTAGTATTAGATCAACTAATTATCCCCAGATTGATATTTTTATTTATTCTCATCACTTATCTTGTTGCTATTGTATTGATACTGTAAGAAGAAATTCTGTCTTGGTCACTAGTGGGACTTAAAAGGGTTAACTGTATTCTTCCTCAAGTTCTCTAGTAGTAGTCCTTACAACCCTTGTCTTCTGTAAATAGGAAAATCCTATTTAGCTAAGCCATCACATCTGAACAATTTTTTAAACTATTTAACCCTTTCACTCCCAGAAGTGATCAACATAAAACTTCTCCCTACAATATCCATCACATTATTCAGCAAACAGTTAATGAGAATATTCAAACTCGTCAGGTAGAAGCTGCTGTCTTGATCTAGCACCCAGTTCTCATAACTAATTTACACGGAAATGTGTAGCAGCTAGAAGGGAGAATTAACAATTAGATCTTGGGAGTTAAAGGGTTAAGCCATGCAGTCAATTAAAATATTAGTCTTTTTAAAACAATGTTGTTAGGTGCCAATAACTAAAAAAATATATTTTTTTTAAGGATTATTGTAAAAGGTCAAAACATGATGTTACGAACACAAATTGAAGCAGAGATGAAGAGCATCTGCTTGAAGCTGCTCTTTCTACATCAAGATGTTACAGGCCTGTCTACATCTACAAGACATTTCTTTTCATGGGAGAGGTTATGATCTCATACACACACAGTTGCTACTGTGCTGTAGCAACTGTTTAGTAGTACTCCACTATATCCTGGTTCTTTACAGATAATATTTAAGTAAAGGCAAGACTGTAAGTGGTTCCCACTTACAGAGTAACAGGAGATCATTTACAAGAGGAATGTCTTGGGAAGATTACTCCTGAAAAGGACCTTATTCCGTCATATTGAATGAAGCTTAAACAACCAGAAACCAGGGTAGAAGTGTTCCAACTACAGTTCCAGGAATGCGGGGGTTTGCTTCAAATTCAAAACACAGATTTAAAGTGCAACAATTGGCTGCAAATTTGTAACTCCCAGAGGTGATTAATGTATAAAACTTCACACAATTTTATTAGTACAATTATTTATTCACAGGTGATCAGAGTAAACAGAATTTTTTGCAGTAGGGTGCTATTTTGATATTACTTCAAATCTTTTTACTCATTTACAGGTAATCTGCAGCAATTTGTAGTGAGAATTGCTCCTTAGATTTTATGAGGTTACATGTATGAGACAATGACTTAATGTGAACTTTTTTCTGGTTGCACTGTTGTGGCAAATCACTTAGAGCTGTGCTTTAAAATGTTGTGAAAATTTTATTGAAATCCTGCATTGGTTTACATCTTTGCTGACTTTCTGAATTTTACTTGATCACAAACAAGTCATCATTGTTTGTAAAATAAATAAAATTTTACAGTTAATTGTAGCAATATTTCTCTGTCAACTTGACCACCATGTCTTCAGGCCTAGCCCAGGCTCACTTATGGATCCCTATGAAAAAGAAAATCCCACATCAAGATTAATATATCTCAATGTAAGTCAGAATGAATGGCTGTAGAATTTTATCTCAAAATGGTGTACTCTTAAGTTTTACAAATAACATGTCCCTTGCTCCTATCATTCCTATCATTAGCCATTGATAAATAAAGGTTACTTTTAAAAAAGTGAAAGAAAGGATGACCTTCTTAGCCTCTGAATTATTTTAATAATTAGAAAGTGCATGGCTCTCCTGGACATGACTTTTCCCCTGCAGATCACCATCAAAATCCCTCATGCCTGATTATACTGAGTGCCTGTAAAGCAGCTGAAAATTCTTAGGGATAGGGTAACTTACTGTGATTGTATATGGAGATCTCTTGTTTTCTATCTCTTCTTTTTTTTCACCTGACATTTCAGGCCCTGCAGGACTTAAATCAGTGAACATTTCATCAACCACCCTAAATCTGATCTCTTCATTGATGTCCATGAACAAGTCATGTCCCCCATCATCTGTTGTATATTCCCACACCCACAGCTGTTCATCCTCATCACTGAGATGGTTGCTTGTTAGGGAACCAAGCATTTAATACTTATAAAGAACAAAAAGAAGCTTCTCTGGATAACTGCGCAACATTTTATGTCCAAAAACAAATGGTATTTAAGAATACCAAAAATTCCAAGGAGTAATGATCATATCTCTTCCTTATAAGTATATTATCCAGTAGAGATGTAAAGAGAATAAATGAGGGTGTTACGAAAATGAATTCAAAACTAAATTCTTTGAACTAAATGACAACTTTAGTTGAAGGAAATTTAACTTTTTGCACTGTAACATCAGTATGCATATTCTCCATACTGTTCTCTGAATATTTCCTAAGATACTGACATGGAGAATTTGTCTGGCAATCAAGAGCTTCTTTAGTTGGTGATCAGCTCCTTTATTCTCCTAACCCTAATGTTTGATTCGGGGTGATGTGGTAAGGAGAAATTAGATTCCAATCACTCTTGGGGTTAAAAGGTTAAGGCCACTAGAGGGGAGAGTTGTGAATAAAATTTTGAGAGTTTGAAAAGGGTTGATGCTATCCTTGGCTGTGAATGCTGCCTTATTGTTTTTTGTATATATTTTGTAATTGTTATCCAAGTGAAGTGTGGCTCCTTTTCTAAGCATTTAGAAAAAGACAGAAAAGGGAATCCATTACTCGCAGGGCAAAGTAATTAGTACTGAGTTTTAACAATTACAACCAAAGGATACAACTTTGAGGGCTGCTGAAGGTACTCATATGGGATGGTAATATCGTCAAAGAATTCCATTGACACTGTTAATATTAAAAAGAAATGAGACAATTTTAAATTTCAAACTTTTCTTTTCAAAATTGTGTTTGAGAACCAGGAAAAGGATCATGTCTTTACATGAATCAAAAGGCCCATTCCTCTAAAGTATATCCAATCTTGTTTTTACTGGGATGAAAAAAATGAGAGTAAAACTGCCCTCCCCTTTCCCTGAAAATGGAGGGAGTCCTTCACAGGTCTCCTCCTCCTTCTTATATATCATCAGTTTCCACTGGGAGGGGTAGGGGTCACTGATAGTTTGGCAATACCCATTTGTTCTTCAGCAAAGAGGGAGGCACCACACTTAAGAGACTTGCCCAAAGACTCGTTAAAATGACAGGGCCAAGGCTGGAAACTTGATCTTTCAATTAGGTGAACTGCTCTAAGTCTATGCTAACTATTAGCTATTACTGTATCAATACTGAGAATCTGGTTTATGAAATTTTCCTTGGAAAAACTCTATTCACAGGGTTACAGCTGCAGCCATCTCTCACAAACTGTGTACAATAATAACGACAATTCGTCACCTTGAACTCCTTCATGGTTACAACTTCGGATCCTTCCTGTGAGCACTTCATCAATGAATGGACGGAACACGACAAAACGAAATTTAACTGAGAAGGAAGACCAAGAATAATCAAGAATAGTAATATTCACAATGCCATGCTTAAAACTCATTTAAGAATTTCAGCTTGCTCGTCATAAATTTTATGTCAATATAAATAATAAACTAAAACAGCAAAATATGAATGAATAGCCATAGTGGTTTCTTTCTTAAACGGACAAAGAGACCCACGTTGCCATAGCTTATTATTTAGTTTCTTCGACATGAACCAGTAAGAAGTAACCGCTAAGTTTGGGATGGTTTGCTAGCCTATGTTAGGTAACTCACCCGAATCTTGCCTACTTTCACAGACATTCTTGTGGTATCAATATTACTCCTGAGTGGAAAGATGCACCGTGACTGAAGGTGTTTTGCCAAGATCGGAAAAAAAATCACCAAGCCAAGGGCTTGAAACCGGACCGTTCATACGAGAGTCCATGGCACTAAATGCATACTATTTTTGATGTGTGTCAGTAAAACCTTCTCTAATTGTTTACCGAGCTAGAGTAGTATGTATTTAAAAACTGACCTGGAGTATGTGACGATCCATCGCCAGGAAAGAGATAGGAGTCACCAATATATGTAATGTCATGTAGTACAATGCACAAACCAACATTATGGACTACCTACAACCAACAAACTTGCAATCAGTTGATAGCTGGCCATTCGCTGTTACCTTTCATGCTCGTTTTGATTTTTTACATCCACTCACCTTGTTTGCAAGCTTTTTGTTCAACTTAGTAGCGATAGCCTCACGTAGATCGACTCCAAAATGCCACGGTTTTACCCTCACAGTATCTTTCATTTCGGCGAGGACAAACATTTTGTTGAATCGAACACGTTTAGCACCAGGCAACTGCAGTATGTATGTATGTATTGTTCCACCGGAGTAAAACTGGAATCTAATGGAAAACGAGGATTTTAGGGTAAAGTGGACTGCGGGAAAGGACGAAAACAGGATCAAATTGGGTATGCCACACTGTGGTCCTAATTATGGATCCATTTCAGTTGTGAATCTGTTTATGTATGCTTTTTCCAAATTTTCAGGGAAAGATGTTCTGTGAGATGCCAACCTCCGGAAACTTGAGGTCGGTATGTAGAATATCCCTCCTATCAACGAGACGGAATCACGTGTAGTTACCCTGGGACAGTAGCCCATGTAATGGCTCCTGCCTGAGATGAATAAAATAATGAGAAAGATACTTGCATCTTTAGTGGTGAAATAAATCTACTTTATTTCCTTTATTTTTGAGACAAAAAAAAGTTCAGATTAATTTTTTTTCTGAGTGCTTTATTAAATTGTTCACGAAATCGGCTCAAAATATTTTTTATTGTATTCGGAAAAGGGTATATATGCGGAAGTATCGATATGCGAACAGAGGATGAAAACTGAGAACTATCTTATGATATTTTTCGGAAACGTAGACTACGAGTTGTCTATACATTTCGGCGAAGTCCGTCGCACGGGGAGCTCTTAAAGTGAGGCGCTCGCTCTCATAGCTCCCTGTAGCGCGCTAACATCAGTTTTTTTTCTTTTTCGCTGATTTTTTTCCAACTCGCACGACGGACTTTATTCGCCGAAGATGAGGGACCTCTCGTGGTCTATTGGGAACGAGGGGTTCGCAGCTGTTCTTTGGGGTTTGACGCAATGCTCTCCAGAGGGAGCCCACTACCTAAGTAATGGGCTCCAATAAGCTGTTGAATTTTAAGGTAGCACTTACACCATCAGAAATGTATTTCAGAGAAAGAACTGAGAAAGAACAGAGAAAAAAATGTATCTCAGGAGAAAGAACTACTACATGACACCTTGGGAGTGAAACATCCTGCGTATTCTTTCTTGGAAAGAAAAGAAAATAGGTGAGAAAAAGGAGACACAAACATGCTGGCCTGACATCCTAGCTTCATCGAGGCCGCACGCTAGAAGCAGAGTTATAATTCTCTTCTATCGTCTTGTTTTTAGATCGCACCCTGCTCACATAGTTGCCCCTATCGATGTTGTAGTAATTCGTTCGGTCTCTAAGCTTGGAATTGTCTGAGCGGTTTTAATTGGATATCAAAGCTCTACGCAACTCAAATCGGTGTCACCCGGTGCTTTATTTTTACAAACGGTTTACAAAATTATTGTAACATAAAGTTCTTGTCAGATGTGTCTTTTCCTTATGCTGTCATAGCTTCTGTCTTCTATTGCCTGGTAAACTAAAGTTAAGCTTTATTTCGTTCGATTATCACATTTTAACGAGAGTTTCAACAGTTCTATTTTATCAAAGATTAAATGCAGTTCCTACAACGTTCTTCCTAAATTCTTTAGAAAGTACTTCATCTTAACCATGCAAAATTAGCTTTTCAGGCTTAAAAAAAGTTAGCAAGACTCTTTCTACAACACTCTTATAATCAGTGTACATCTTCACGGAATTTGGTGACAAAATCACTGCCTCAATCCGATGTGGTTCAGCTCACGTGACAGCTGACACAGCACGCATGTTGGTAAGCATTGAACCACGCAGTAATCATTGCACAGGGAGCCCTGAAAATAAAAGTTTCAAGTCTTTTGAATCAAGTCAAGTCTAGTTCAAACCCTTGAGAGTTATTAAAGAATTTTTGATGTAAGAATGTTCTCCCGCAATTGCTGCTGAAAGCATTTCTTGATAAACACCCTCTAGGCGAGGGTAAGAGGTATGGAAGAGTGTGTGATCCCAGATTACCTTTTGTATACTATAACATTCAGAATCTGCGTAAATCTAGAACGAACACAGACGAAATTTACCTGAATGTTCTGCTGTGCCCTGAGTTTGATCCTCAGCCCCAACAAAGCTCCAGGACAACAGGTCGCAAAGCAACAACCTTCACCCATTCTCTGGGACACATCACAGAGTAAAATACATGGACAAAACAATCCCATACATACTACAAGAAAACAAATCGGGAACATACTGTTTATCGTACGAGCAGTAAAAGCCTTTTTACGATATTCCAAAAATGACCTATAACAATTTATAAAAACGGCAAACACAATTATATGTGTTTTATATAGATTTGAGATTCTACGCTTGCACAGCGAGCACCACGATGACTACGATAGACTAGAGCGTATTCATCTCCGTGAACCCAAGAGAAGAAAGGGATCTGGGAACGAGAGTGAAATAGTCGCCAAAAGCATAGGGGCAAGAAAAGTCGATGACACTGGCTGAGCTTTTCTCTTCTTTTCTTTAATTTTGCGATCCCTTTCGTTTGCGAGACACCTTAAAATTGTTTAACTCACAAGAGTAGCAGTCCTCGCAGCATCCGCACAGATCAGAGCTCCAGTCTCGCATTCCCTGCTGAAACACGATGGGTGCTGGCTGATTCACAACTACAGTTGTATTGCTGGTCTGGAAATTGGTTGGTTGAGCCATAACTGGGTAACCTTGCTGCATGACAGTTAAAAGATATATAAAAAAAATGTTACCTCCATTTATCCCGGGTTTGGAGCAACGAATATAATGCGAGCTCGGTTCACATTTTTGTGGCCAAACTTCAAGGCTTTTTTTTAACACAATTAAATTGATTATTCTAGAAACAAAGTTATGACTCAAACCATATGCTCTAAGTCCCGATTAAAACCGTTTTGGCGTTGTTAATTTACGCGAAATTCAGCTGCCTTACGAAGTGATTTCACACTTGTTGCAGCTTGATAAAAATCTATATGGACTGCTTCCCTTTCAAGTCTTTATCTTCCTATTCCATACTTTTACAAGGACTGAAACATTTCTCTTAAAATCGCCACTTCCTTTTTAAGGCTATTTCCTAACCTCGAAATCAAAAATTTAAGTTCTCAAAGGGGATCACATTTTAGGTTTTCACTTATTTGTCGCATGCTCAGCCACTTTCGTTCAGGTGACTAATTCCCCTAAGGGTTTTATCTTATAACACTCTGTGCACCATCCAATCGCTGATTGGTTGGTGCAGAATTCTTTTCAGAGTCAGCGGTAGAAAATGAAAAAATGTCTTCTTTGTATTGTCCAACGAGGCATACAGGTTTGAAAATGTTTTTTGTTTGTTTGCGAATTCAACATTCAAAGCCTTAAAGAGGTTAATCAGGACCAGTTTACTAGCGAAAACAATTTGAAGAAACCGTGACGAAAAAGTGACATAACTTTGAAAAGTATTGAGGATATTAGGGACAAGTACCTAGCGGAATACAGTCTACACAGAAAGACTGATTAGATTGTTTATGATATATAACATCCTTCAAATCCCAAAAATCTAGAATATGAACCAAAAAATTCACAGTCGATTCCTTATAAATGGAATCTTGGAAGGATATTGAAAATGGTTGAGTTATCGGGAAGTCGATTTCCTCATGAAATAAGGAACAATACTGTGTAGGAAGTATTTTTGTTCACACAGTGAAAATTGCAACTTCCGTTTAATCTTAGTCTTGGGAAGTCGATTGAGGCATAAAAGCATCAGAGCACTCCATGGTCCACAACATGCTGAAGTTAAATGAAAATTTGAACTTGATGAGCGCGGACACGTTAAGTGTAATGCTAAAAGGTCAATAAAAGGGTGCTTCAAAATATTTCATTATTTTTACCACGGCACTTTTTAAGTATCCCAAAATTAGTTTGTTGATGCGCGGCGCGCATCGACAAACCAGTTCGAGTAATCGTTGGTCATATCATGCAAAAAATGAACTGAAGCGAAGCAGAAAATGGTTCGTGTTGGCGAGGCCCACTTAATCAATTCTAGTGTCTAGGTCACAAACGAGCGAACATCGAAAATATCGACAAGGCAATATTTTCCGTTTTTGACAGCAAACGTAAATCTGCAATGGAAATTGTTTCCCCGTTCGAAATTTTAAATACAGAGTAGCACCTGTCACGTTTTTTTTTTTATTATGGATAATAATACTAGTTTCGTTGTTTATTGAAAAACGATGGGATTTCGAAATATATCCAGCGTTTTAAAGAAATCTAGAGTAACTGTGTGTCTGCTTGTTGTCAGATTTTATACACGTGGGGGTGCCTCAGCAACCTGGGAATGCAAATTACGATTTTTACCGCGGATGCAATTTTCAGTCTCTATTCTGAAGTTCAGATTTCACGTAGAATCCTTTAAATTTGGATATCTATTTATTTCTCGAATCTCTACAAGCCAAAGCTCGTTCCTATGTCTGGTGAGGTCACTGAATGTGCATCTTAAGAGGTATTGAGTTTCGTTTCGATTTCTGGGTGAATCATCTCTGAATTCGAATGGCGTGGACACGAAATGGAAGCATTTTTGGGCACAAACTCCTTAAATTTTTCACGAAATATAGTTATAATGCTAGAATGTTAGAGGTTGGCGGAAATCGGTCTGCATCGTGCGAGGAATAGCACTCTAAAAGCAGAGGTGTCCAAAGTACTTAAGTGCAAGAAATGCGTTCGGAATTTTCCGCTTAAGATCCACTGTACCATCAAACCAAATCGCTGCATGCTCAAAATTAAAGCTATTTATTCTTTAACTGACTTCTCTCCTGCTTGGAGTTTACTCAAGCTCTTCATAGTAGATTCCGAAATGTAATTGCTTTTGCACCTTCAGGAAGAGAATATTCTAGTGCGCTTTGCAATGAAAGTCTTAGAAATTGATCGCGAGGGCACGAATGAACACGGCAGAATGATTATGTGAAGCGACAGGGAAATTTCTCTAAGAAAAGAAAAATGAAATTTATATTGAAATGATATTCTGAAAGTGAACAAAATCTCGATTGCGCTAAGTCAAATTCTTCGTGAAGCTAACGCTCTGCAGATTTCTTCAGTTCGTAGGCGTTTAAGAGTTGAATTAAACATCACAAAGTCCGTATACATTTCAGTGCAAGCATCATCTGAGTGTAACTAGACTGTTCCTGATCGAATAACTTATCCAAGGGAGTTGATTTTGGTATTTGTTTTTGAGACATCGAGCTATGAAAAAAAACCCCAAACAAGTCGAACGTCGGAAAGAGAGTAACTTACCTCCATCTCTGTAACTCAATGTTGTTTCTTCCCTAAATCCACAATACTCTGACCCGAGAAAAATACGCCCGTGTCTGATTGTTTGTCACGTGATCTCAAAATGAAGAGGAATGGGTCAAACACAATGCTCTGATTCCGAGAAAAATGCACTGATAGATGTCTGTCACGCGATCTCAAAAAGAAGAGTAATAAGTCAAACAGGGAGTCTGGTGCCGTTCACTGACATTTAATTTGTTGTTTGGGACAAAATATATTTTGAGTAGAAATTTTCAAAGCTTGTTATGATTCAATCGACAGGGAATTTTCCTTTACAACAATTTCTTTTTTAAAAGTTATTTTTGTTCATGCGCATGCGTAACGTCTTACCAATGGAATGCTACTCACAGGATATCAAGACATTTCTCCCTTTCCGGCTTATTACCATGAAAAATAATCTTTTGCCGGAGGAGCGGGGGGTATTTTATGGTTTGAGGGAGAACGGAGGGGGGGGATGAGTATGAAGGGGAAACCATAGAAAAATTGGGATCGAATGCCCATAACTGCCAATAAGGGGGGGAGGGGGGGTGGGTCAAAAAAAATAACACAGAGCGTTATGGTGGGATCAGGTAATTATTATCGTGACACAACCAAAAATCCTCCACCCCCCTCCCCCCCTCCCGTGATAAATACTGGTAGGTCAGCGAACTCTCCTAGTCGCGAAAGTTTTGTGTTTGTGTACATCAACCAATCAAGATAATATCAGTTGATATTTTCTTGATCCAATGTCCAGATCCTTATTTCTCCACGTGATCTTTAGAACTCTTCCTTTTTTTTTTTTTTGATTCACCGTGTTTTCTCAAAATTAAACTTGTGATGTTCCTTTCATTTCAATTTCTATTGTGACACTGATGACCGAGAGAGAAGGAGGGTCTCAATGTTATTAACCAATAGCCGTAAAACGGCCAAAAATTTAGCCGTTTAGCGTAAAACTGACAAATTTTAATCGTTAGTCGTAAAAAGAGTTATTCGCAAAAAAGTTTCTGGTGATCACAACGGAAAGATATGAATTGTTAACCGTAAATTGGCGAAAATTCTAACTTTTAGCAGCAAAAGCCATCAGGACCCTCGGGAAGAGCACTTATTCGCCATAATGATCACGCCGCAAGTCAAAGATGTGCTAAAAAAAGGATTTATTTGTCATCAAAATCTGTTAGAACTAGTGCAGTTTTCTCAGTCACTAATAGCCTGTTCCAATCTCTAAGTCAGTAAAGACAAACAGGAGGGCGGATGAGGGAAAGTAAGACCCTGGTTAGACGGTCTGTTATTGGTCGCTCGCTTTTTCATTCGTTTTTGCTGACCAAGAAGTTGGCGCAGTCTGTCCTGTACCTTTTCCTCGCGTAGAAGTTGTGATCATCAGCTCGAACCTTATGCCAGGATTCGAGCGTCATATCGTGCGCATGCGCGGATTCTAATTGTTGTAGTCAGTTGAAATTATTCCCTCAAAACGTCTATTTTCATCAAAAATATAGCTAGGCCATTTCACGAGTGGTTTATTCGAGTTACATACCTGCCTATTATTACGTAAAGAATCATGTAAAAGCAGTTTTTCTCCTATCAGACATCACAACTGGGTTTTGGACTATCGTTTTGTAAACTGCCCTCTATTTTCAGACTAAACAATTCAACCATCTCTACATAAATCTCATGTTCATATAAATGAAGGTATTCGATAAACTGGTGATAAAATACTACAAGTGTCTGCTCTCTTGTTCTTCTGTTCACCTCACACCACTAAGAATGCTACGCAGCCAAAAATCTATCGTTTGACGATTTTCTAAACGATATCTTCCTCGTTTTAACAAGGTTTTGGTTAAGAGATGTAGCAGTTTTTTCTATTTGCATCAACAAGTTTATCATACAACCTACAAACCTAATCTATCCCTACTGCGCTTCAGAATATGAAGAAAGAATTTGGTGCTAATAGTTTTATACTAAAATGTTATTATTTAAGCCATCGACAAGTGAAATACGTCACAGAATCACTGATTCACTCCCAGGTGGTTCAGCTCACGTGACAGCTGACACAGGGCGCATACTCCACAGCACTGTACCACACAGAAGTCATTGCACAAGGAGCCCTGGAAGGAAAGAAGCAACAAATTGATTCCTTGTATGCTGGTACACAAGGAGTTCTGGAGAAGAGAGAGTTGACAATAACAGTAACATGAACACATGAATTACTATCTCCACTGCTGAAGTATGTCATAAGTTTAAAAATACAATTGTTGGTTTTTAGTGACGGATTTATGTAGCTCAAAGGTATCGTTTCCGCGTGAAAACTTTCAGTGTTCGCGTGGCTTCGATTTTTTTTCTTCCTATCGCCGATTTCTTCTCATTCGCCCCACGGACTGAGATGGGAAATAGGGACTAGGCATGGTCATGTCATTACAGCGTGGTGTTACAGTATGGCGTTACAGCGTGGCGTTATTCTAAATATTAATAAACAAACCTGAATGTTCTGCTGTGCCCTGAGTTTGATCCTCAGTCCCAACAGAGCTCCAGGACAGCAAGTCGCAAAGCAACAACCTTCACCCATTCTCTGGGACACATCACAGAGTAAAATACATGGACAAAACCAGCCCATACAAACTGCATGGAAGAAAATCAGGTAAAAATATTTCAGAAAGATGTCCTTCCCTAGTCCAAAATTTCAATTGAGTGCACGCAATTACTAAATACGTTTTGCGATTTCCCAGCATCTTCTCGCAAGTAGGATGCAAAACGACGTAAAATATATAATCGTTCAGACCAAATCGAACGTGAATTTTCCAAAGCATCGCGCCAAGATCGCGAAGATACCCGGCTATCTTAATTCTGTTGATGTATTCACTGGGACCTGCGCAAACACAGTAGTTAAGTAGTTACTTACGAGAGTAGCAGTCTTCAAAACATCCGCACAGACCAGTGCTCCAGTCCCGCATCCCTTGTTGAAGAACCATTGTCGGTTGCGTGACCACAACAGTTGTGTTAGTGCTTTGCATGGGGGCCGGCTGGGCCATGACTGGTTGAGGGTACCCTGGTTGGGCGGGAGGGTACCCTGGTTGGGCGGGAGGGTACCCTTGTTGGGCCGGAGGGTATCCTTGTTGCGGTGGGGGCTGTTGCATACCGTAAGAAGGGGGGGCTGCAGCCCCCTGTCCCTCGCTCATGTAGTTATATCCAACGCCAGGTTTCTCAGACATGTTCCAAGATTGACTCACTTGTCAAATGGTTAGAAAAATGTTTAAAAAAATTAATACAGTTCACATCCTTATCATTATGATGACGTTTAAAGTATACGTTACTAGGATTGTCTGTAAAACTGAACAATTTAACCCGTAAGAGTGACGAGAAGACAGGAAATGATTCCTGACTTAGAATACTTTTGATTGTTAAACAAATTCTCCTTGTCAGTACTATAGGAAATATAAAGAGATCAATATGGAAAATGTGCATAGTGATGTCAGAGTGTTAAGGGTCGAAGGAAAATTTTCATTAGCCGTGGATAAATGAGCCGGCAAAACAAAGCAAAATCACACGGAGTATCAACTGTTTGTTGTCAGAATCACGTTGAAGCTCCTATTAACCGTTTGTACACTAATTCCTATTAGATAAATTAATTTTCCTAATAGAGAGCGAGGCTCATATTTTGCTTAAAACATCGTTTCGCAAGTTGATGGAAAGTAAGACATTGAAATTCACAAGTTTGTAAATTGAACACTGGATATCGTAGAGTTTGAACGTTTGGAAAATTCTGGCCTTTTCTATCAAATCTGGCTGGCAAAACGATAATGAATACCTCTACACGGATGATAAACATGTATTAAAATTCGGTTAATGCAAGTACAACACTCTTTCATCTAGAGAATTATCTTATGGTTTTGAGATGTTTTAAAATATCTCTTTCCATTCCGTATGAAAAGAAATTTCCCGCAATTCTGAAAAAGTTATGGAGAAAAATAAAGTGAATATTGTAAAAATTTCGTGAAAAATAAAAGTGAATATTGTTAAAAGTTCAAAATATTTTTCTTTGTTTTGCATTGTTGTATTGTGTTTCTGTTTTGTTAATTTATTTTGCTTCTATGTTTTTCTTTTTGATTCTTTCAAGTTATTCACATTTTTAGAAGTCAAAAAATTTTAAGCGATTGAATGTTTTGATAAAGTAGCCAACATTTTCATCGAGAATTTTCAATTGGAGTTAATATGACGGTCAGTATTATCGAGGAAAATCGAAAAATTAGCATAAAGTAATCTTTCAACATTCTTGTTTGCAGTAGGGCTTCTTAGAAGAAAATAGTGCGGATTTAAATCAAATAATTTACTAGTAAAATAAGGTGCGCTATTTTTTAATAAAACTATTCCATCAATTTCTTTAACTTTCACAACAACACGACGCATTTCGCGAGTCTTATAGCCACTAGACCGAAGCATCCAATGTCTTCAATTCTTGTAATTTTATAGAAATGTATTCCTGAAAACTAAATTTTATGGATGATTTGCATTTTGGCTGGAATTGATCTCTTTGGCTTATTTAATCGTCGTAAATATTTCACAATAAAAACTTCGACAACTGGCTACAAAGAAAGTTGCGACAAGGTCAATGAGCGAGTCAGTGACAACAATCCTTGAAAAAACATTACGATTCCACTTATTAGTTTGCAGACGTCGAAAACCTTGCATATAATTAGAAAAATAAAGGATACTCTAACGCCATATTTTCGAACCCCGTATACATCGCACCAGTGCGGGAAAGAAACGTTAAATCATTTTTGAAATTACTGATCGAAACCAATAACATTGGGACACCGCATTAAAATGCATATTCTAGTGACATCCATGATTAATCGTGTTTATTAATAGAAATGCTTGTCCGAAGACAACTTTTTACGACAACAAGCACAAACTCAAACCTATACTTAAATATTTTACATGGTCCATCGGCGGAAAGAACGTGTTCTTGGCCAATTCTAGTTTTAAGAGGATCACAAACGAGCGAACATCGAAAATATCGACAGGTATTGTTTTCCGTTCGGTGACAGAAACATCAATCTACACTGACATTTTTCCGCGTTCGAAGTTCTGAATTCAGGGTGTTACCTGTCGCGCTTACTTAGACTGCGGATATCAATGCTAGTTTCGTTATTCAGTGGAAAAACGATGAGATTTTTACCTGTATCCAGCGTTTTTAATAGTGTGTGTGCCTACTGGCGGTCAGATTAGATAAGCGCGTTTATTCAGCGAAACACCTTGCGCTTCTGCAAAGCTGGGATTGTCATCTACAGTTTCGCTGCAGATGTACCTCGTTTGGTCCATTTTTCTTTGAGTTATAGGGGTTTCGAGTTTTAGGGGTTTTGAACAAAAAGACTAGAAACACTTGATTAAAGAGGTTTTATGCCTATACATATTTTATCGTAAGATTTCTAAGAACGAGGATTTTTAATAACCACTCCAATAAAAATCGGTATCGCATAAAGTGAAAATTACCATGGTCATTACTGCGAAGATCGCTTTCTTACTCAAAGTGAAATCTATCGATGAATATCTCGTTACAACATAAAACGTCACGTGGAAAGAAATACCTCCACGTACATCAGAGGCCATCATGGTGTCCTATTCAAAATTGAAAACGCGACCCTCTTTTGAAAAATTTATATCACGTTTTATTGGATCGTAAATGCATAAAAATAAATAAAGAGTACACTATGAGCTGTCTGTCCCGATCAATGCGGTAGCTCCCTTAAAAAGGTCTTTTGTTTCGCCTAGTAAGTGCTGAAGTGCAAGGAATTTCATTCGACACCCTATGAAAGTAAGCATGGATTTTAACCGTTCCTTGCTGGCGACACAAGTACAAATTCATTGTACTTTGCCAAATAAAAAACTAACAGATAAATGTAAAAGACAAGATTACCTCTTAGCTGAAGAGAATCCTTAGAAGAAACAACAAATACAGTAGTGCGACGCGAAACAACACCTTTACCAAGCTTGGAAGATCACGCAAACTGTCATTACCGTGAGAACCTCGGCAGGAGTGTCCAAAAACATTACTCAAGATGGCGGTAGAGGTCACTCGTTGAATGCAGATTGTCTTTATCGAAAACAATAGGGCTAGCCAATAAAATTTGAGTTGAGTATGGGAAAACATAAAGGGAAAGCTAAAGTGGCTCCGCCTCGACATAAACTTAGTAAGAGTTCAAGGTTTGAAGCTGCTTGGAATGGCACAGAAGACTTTGATGGAGACGAGATGACTACACGCGGTAAATGTTTAGCGTACCCTTTCCCCCCTAACATCAGAATGCATATTCTCCATGCTGTTCTTTATTCATTTCCTAAGGTACTGGAAAAGGAATTTGTTGAATAGTCAAGAGGTCCTTTAGTCGGTGATTATTTCCCTTATTCTCGTGGCCTTACTGTGTACCTCAGGGGGACATCATAGGAGAAATTAGATGCTTGTCGCTACTAGGGTTAAAGAGACGATGGTTCTCATACTGAGATGCTTCTATTGTTGATTATGTGGCATAAACTACAGGATACAGATTCAGCGAGATACATCTTGTCTGCTTGCTCTGAAGAGCAGGGAACAAGTCTTTGAAACGATTTTCAACATGATTCAATGGGATTTGATATTAAAGAGGTATTCATGGGTATCGGTGATAATCATTTACATTCCCAATCAAAACAATTCAATCACTTTTCATAGAAACATCATGCTGGTCACCAGCATGATGTTTCTATGGTAACTTGCTATGTTACCACCGTGACAGTGACATTATACACCTTGGTCAGCACCTTAATTGTAGTATTATCTGCCTTAAAATCAGCTCTCTCACTTGTAAGATCAAAATTTCAATTCTCCATACTGTTTCCCATACATTTCTGACAGTGTTAGCTCAGAGAAGTTATTGTTAAATCAAACAGAATGACCTGATTGATATTTTTCTTTCTTCCATGTTTTTTCTTGAAAATGTATTGAGATAACAGAGAGATATTTCTTATTGGTCACTCTTGAGAGTGGAAGTGTCAAACACAAGCTTAGTGACCTTCCTTAGGGTGACATTGACCAAACTTGCCTTTAACACTTGATCAAAATTAATCATTTTGCAGAGTTTTTTAAACTGATAAATTCTTTTGTTAGCTCAGAGCTTATTTGTCCCAAAATTTTCAATAAACAATAAGGACCAACTCTGAGACTTATGCATCTGTTATTTTCTGGTGATTGTCCATCAAAGCCACAAGATTTGTGCATAAATTGTATGTTATAGGTTTTTTTTAATTGATTTTTCTTTCAGATGATGGTAAGAAAAAGGATTATGGCAGAGGATTTCCTTTTCCTTTGGCCATGTGGGTAAGCAAGTAGATTTAGGTAATTGAATAAATTATTTGAACTTTTGAGTGGCAGTCAGTTAAATGTAGTTTGATGGTCTGGGTGAGGGTAACACTTAAAAAGACTGTCATGAGTGACTGGCTAAGCTAATGAGAAACCAGAGCTGATTTTAATGTTTCATGATTTTAGACACTGCCAGAGAACAGATTGGGTTGAAATGCATCTCAAACATTGTTGATAAGTCAAGTCTTATGAATTTTTAGTGGATAGCCAACCCACATTTCACCAGTTCTGTATATTGAAGATAACTAAGTCATCATATTTTAGGATTTGGAGCACTGTGATCCAAAGAAGTGTTCAGGAAGAAAGCTCTCAAGACTTGGCTTTGTGAAAACACTTAAAATTTCCCAAAGGTTCAATGGTCTGATTTTAAGTCCCTTGGGAAAGCAGTGTGTTTCACCTCAGGACCACACCCTCGTTATGGATCATGGAATAGCTGTTATTGACTGCTCGTGGGCCAAATTGGAGAGCACACCATTTGGGAGGATGAGAGGAGGTCACATGCGCCTGTTACCATATTTAATTGCTGCAAACCCTATCAACTATGGAAAGCCCTGTAAATTGTCTTGTGTAGAAGCATTTGCTGCCACGTTGTACATCATTGGTAAGTGATAAATACTTTTTATAAAGAGTGCTATTCACAGTTCTTAAGTGAGAGTGTTTAGGTATTTAGGATGGTGAAAGGAGATAAAATTGTAACCATTGAACTGCATGTGGTGAACTTGATACACAGCTGTGATGCAATAATGACTAAAAACCCCATTTGACATGGCAGAAAAAGAGAGCAGTAGGCAAGGATGAATGACATTAACCCTTTAACTCACAGATCAAATTTGTCACTCTCCTTACTGTCAACCATACAATTTTGATTATGTTAGATCAGAGAATTTAGTATTGGATCAACTTATTATCCCCAAATTGATATTTTTCTTGATTCTCATCACTTATCTGGTTGATATGGTATTAATATTGTAAGGAGAAATGCTGTCTTGGTCACTCATGGGAGTTAAAGGGTTAAGGAAGCACTGTCCATTCTAAGATGTATATTTATAGAAGGTGACAACAGCCTGTTAAAAACTGAAAAGCCTTGCTGTCCTCAAGGTAACAATTGCACAGGTTAAATGTCTAAAAGGTCATCCTAGGGACCTCTATGCCTAAAAATGAAAAAAATTGTTTCAATCAAATCAAAGTAAGTCTTATTAAAACTATCGCACTTTTGTGCTCCTTGCTTCATTAACCCTTTAACTCCCATGAGTGATCAAGACAGAATTTCTCCTTACAATATCAATACAATATCGACCAGATAAGTGATGAGAATAAAGAAAAATATCAATTTGGGGATAATAAGTTGATCCAACACTTAATTCCCTGAACCAACATTAGAAGAAATGTATTGGTGAACAGTAAAGAGAATTACAAATTTGATCTGGGGGTTAAAGGGTTAACTTTCCAGTTAACTCTTTAAACCCCCAAGAGTGACTGGCATCCAATTTCTTTTTTCAAGATCACCCCTGAATCACACATTGAGGTCACAACAATAATGAAAATGAAATAGAGAGTCTCTTGACTGTTAAGCACATTCTCCTTGTCAACACCTTAGGAAAGATACACAGAACAGTATGGAGAATATGCATACTGATATGAGGGTTCAAAGGGTTGAAATGTCATGGTATTACAGTTAGCAAGGTAAGGTTAGCTCCTACCATCCACATGATGCGACACAAAATTCATCCTTGCACACAAGTTTTGTCTTCAGTGTGCCCTAACTAGCTTCTAATATGTGCCACAGGAGTTTGAAGTTTTTTCCTATATATAATCATCCCTCTGAATAGCTGAGCTTTATCAAGTTGAATTCTGAAGTACATAGTCCCTCTGGACATTGTCTTTCTAGCTCTAATTGTGCAAGGATCATTCAACTTGATGATACAGCAGAACCTTCCTTACTTAGCCCTTGAACTCCTGAGATTTGATTGTTAATTCTTCCCTCTTGCTGCTACACATTTCCTTGTCGAGGTAGCAACTTCTAAGTGATAGGTTTGAGTATTCTCCTTACCTGTTTGCTGGATAATATAAGGATATTACAGGGAGAAGTGTCATTATGGGAGTAAAAGGCTCAATAGATTTACCATAGTTATTTGGTTATAAGGTGCACTCGACTATAAGACGCACCCCCAATTCAGCAACTTCATTATTGCATGTTTTCAAACTGAAAATATCGCTGAAATACTTGGTTATAAGGTGCACTGTTGTTTGGGGAGTAAAGATCAGTCAAGTTTATTGTAAATTCTTTCATAAACTTACAAAAAAGCGAAAAAAGTCGCATATTGATTTTAGTTTACCATTAATTAACAAAAGCAGAATTGTCGCACACGCCACCATGCACACAAACAAAAGCCTTGATTAAACAAAAGCAAAATGTCACAGACATAAACAAAAGCCAAAAGATGTCACACATTTAATCACAGTGATAAACAGAAGGCAAAAAAAGTCACAGATTTAATGAAAACCTATTGGTACATATTAATTTTTAGCCTTCCCTCTCAGGAAACATGGTTTTAAAGTATAAAAACAATTCAATCAACAAAATCAGTAGTTGCAAATTTACTTCACGTGGTGAATATTATCTTGCGAAGTCTACATTCAGCACAATCATGCCAAACACTCGCCGTCATTCTTACAATCTCAACTTCAAGTTGAAAATTGTAGCCGTCCTGGATGCAGACGATGAGCTAGACAACAAATTCGACACTGACAGTGAAAGAGAAGATGAGTAGACTCCAGGCAGTACACAACTCAAACGGTTCTTTTCAGAACCACCATATTTATAAAAGTCAATGACCAACACTGTGTGTCCTTTTATTTGCTTGAAATTGTACCAGTAACTGTGATAAAAAAAATTGTTTCAGGAAAATATTCGCCCATAAGACGCACCCAAACTTTGGTGGTAATTTTTAGTAGAAATTAGGAATTTCTTGAAAAAATGGTGCGCCTTATAACCGAATAACTACAGTAAGTAAATGATCTGAGGTAATAACGAGGAGAATTAATTATACAATCAAGAATTTGGTTTTCATTTTCTTTCTTCTTGAAACTTTTATGAGAGGCAGGCAAAGGGTTTATACATGAGGCATCATAAAGGCTAAAATTGATATGTATCATGTAAATATTACAGAAAGCAAAGGGTCATTAGTGAATTTTTTGAACCAGTGTGAGGCATGATTTGCCACAGGAAATATATGGGACCTGTGAATGTCTTTTATCATTTTGTGAAAGCTGTAATATTTCTTTGAAATCATGCACACAAGGAGAGAAGTTTGAAGTTTTCTCTTTGATGTACACGATGCATGAATTTTGTACATGAAATTTGATCAAGAACCCCCTTGTGTGATCCAGTGGTTGCATTGTAATGAGAAATTAGTCACTGTTAGGGTTCAAAGGTAAAATATAGCTCTCTCCTCAATGATGCACTCAGATAAGTAGTCTGCTATCAACTTACTGGAATTTCCAAGACTGTTTCTCATTTTTCTAGCTAGTGTGATTTTACTGATTCTATTGCAAGTCAAATTTAGGGCTTGAGTGTTATTTTGAAGAAGGGAAAGGGTAAATTTAAACACATTCCTTTGTATTTTATTATTACTAAAGGGCAACAAGATCTTGGTTCTACATTGTTGAAGCGTTTTAAGTGGGGGACGTCATTCTATGCATTGAATAGGTAAAGTACATGCAGTCATTTGACAATATTTTTTATTGGTGCAGCAATTTTGGTGTTGATAAAGGCCTATAGAGCCGAGATACTCAGGATATCTTCAGAACTAAATATTTTGAAAGTTTAGATTTTTATTTCTCAGGAAAACTGGAAAGTGATAAAGAGTAACAGGCTTTGGGAAGCCTTAGGAAAACTGTGACAAGATTCCCCTTTTGCAAATTTATTTCCAGTGTTACACTCTTGACTGAAAACATGTATGTCATTCTTTTTTTACTGAAACCACCAGAATTGAATAAATAGAGGATATTACATGGCTGCGCATGGATACGAATTTTATCTTCAAGTGCTGAAAGTATCTCTCACTCTTTCGCTTCACTCACTTGTGAGAGAGACTTTCAGCACGAGAAGACAAAATTCGTATCTCCAAGTGGCCATGTAATGATCTGTTTATTTTGTAGATACTGATGAAATTCCTACATAAAAGACAATGAAATTGCAAAATTTCTTGTAATTGGCTAATCATGTTAGTAACCATGGCAACACCAATATCCTCACACATGACAGATAAAAATAGTATCTTCACTGCACACGATGGAAAAAAAGTAAAAAGGAAAAATCCTGGTATTTCATCAGTATCTATGTAATAATTAATAGTATAATGCACAGGTGAATAATGCTTTTTGTGCACTCTGATTGGCCAATCCTAAAGTGATCACCAAGAATTATTCACCTTCAAGCAGCTGAAGAGACAAGCAGTTGAAAAGAGAAAATCATATGTCAAGAGCTACATATCTGACCATTTTTTGGTATATTGACAAAAATAGGTTACATGTAATTCTTTGGTTTCTGTGTGGTATATTTATATGAAACAAAAATTTAACTCAATGTGGTTGGAAGTGGTGGATATTTACCTCCCCACTCTGCAGATTGGTCAATATCCAGTGGTTGCTATTCATCCCCACTCTGGTGAATAATTGTCGATTATACCAGATTGACTTCCACGAAGAAGCTCAATTGTGTTAATAGATTCAACAACACTTCATAAGGTTTCTTGTGTGCTTTTTCTTTCTCTACACCTGAAAGCTAATGATGTTCTCATTTATCAAACTGTTCTCTGTTTTCTGACGAAGGGCTTATGCTCAAAACTGATGCAGCACCACAGTTTCTTTAGAAACTTACCCCCTTTCGATAAACATGGCTGTAAGTGATAAGGTTTGGATTCATCAAGCTTGCCCTTGAAATTTGATAAGATGTAAATGATGATAATCTATTGTTGTGTACTTGTTAGGACTCTGCTAGACCGCTATGCTACTTGTTCATCCAGCAAAGATGTTGTGAAAGCTCAGGATAAATGGCTGGAAGAAATGGAAGAAGAACAAAATGCTCAGTCATCACAAGGTTTTTACTCGTTTAAAACTTACCTTTGCGTATATTTTGTTTGTTTTAGGGTTGTTCTGTTAATATTTACTTTCCATGATTAGTGAGATGGACTAAGAACTCTGCTGGATTAACTCTTCAACTCCCATGAGTGACCAAGAAAGAATTTCTCCTTACAATATCAATACAATATCAACCAGATAAGTGATGGGAATATAGAAAAATATCAATTTGGGGATAAATAGTTGATCCAAAACTAAATTCTCTGAACTAACATGATAAGAATTGTATGGTTGACAGTTAGGAGAATTACAAATTTGATCTGGGAGTTAAAGGGTCAATAAAACTGTCATTGTCTTGTTCCTCCTGTATTCTGTCATTCATTCCTTTCTTTGCTGTTTCTGAGAACTAGGTGAGCTCAATTTTCCTCATCTCCACACCTTCAGGGGAGGAGTGGGTACTCATTTCTAAAACAGTGGTGAATGTTTCAGCCATAGAATTTGGTGGAGTATCAAGATATGTTCCCTTTGTTAATGAAAACACCTTAACATCAGGATCTATGTTCTCTATACTCCTTTTATACATTTCCTTTGGTAGTGATGAGGAGAACTTGTTTAACAATGACAGATTGGAAATCATTTCCTAATGATCTAATGATCTTAATGAACGATTCCGTAGTGTTACTGTTAGGAGGCATTAAACACAAATACAAGATGGTTACCAAATTTAAGAAAGGGGTAAAACAGAAATATTGAAGTAAAAAAAATGCCCTCAGCAATTAAGGTGGCCTAAACCAAGGGAATGTTATTTTTTAATGCTGTAATAAAGGTCTAATTCATTGCCGCAGAAACAATCTATCATCAAATGTATTTCTCATTTCATTTCCAGATTTGATGGACATTGATATGACCAAGGAACATTTTAACCCAAATCGGCCCATTTTGAGGTTTGTTGGCTTAAGTTTCAAGATGCGTAAATGTGTCTCGTATCATTTAGCTTTGCAAGCAGAAGCGGCATTCCTTGAGATAAATTCAATGAATCGTTTCTTCACAGTGAAAATGAGTCAAGTAACAGTAACAGCGACGATGGTGATGATGTTGACGTTGACGATGACGATGTGGATACGGATGAAGCAACGGATGATGATATCGAGAATGGACACGAAAGTGATGAAGATGAAAAGGCTGAACTGAATTTTGGTATTGTTAGAAAAGAAAACGGACAAGAAGAAACAGAAGATCGACAATTACTAGAAAGAGACGGAACTGAAGGTGCGTCGTGCGGTATTAGTTCTGCTGAAGATGAACATTTCGGGGATTGTTTTGGCAAGGGAAACTTGCCAGGAAATGATCACAGTGTTGACTCTCCCGTTGGCGATGATACGCTGGAAATAACCAGAAGGACCGAACTTTTTCATTTGAATGATAGATAGTACCGGTTTTAAATTTGCGAAGCTGGCAATTCACGGACCAATGGTGTCTTTAATCCTGAAACTAATAAAATGTCTAAAATAGAAGAGATCAGTACAGATGCAACATGACGCATGAATTATTAATGTATGCACCAAAAAGTAGCGTACTACAAAAGTATCCCGCGATCTTGCTTTCATTTCTTTGTTTGGGTCAAATCTATTATTATCATCTCAAGTTGGGCTTGATCGTCACTTTTGGCTGTTATTTTTCAGTTCTTAGCAATTTTTAAGTCGATATTGCGGTTCGAAGGGAAACTTAGCTCGTCGTTCTTATTTTCTGGTTAAATTCTTAGACACCCTTATGTCGGTGGTTTTCCGGTTTGGATGAAAATTTTGGCTGGTTTTCTGCGGGCTTCTGTTACGCATCGATGTTCCCTCCCACGTACTAACGGGAAAAAATGCCATCCTTTATTTCGCTTCCTCTGTCACGATTCCACCGTAACTTTTAATCCTTGAGAGTATCATGAAATTCTGCGGGCTTCTGTTACGCATCGATGTTCCCTCCCACGTACTAACGGGAAAAAATGCCATCCTTTATTTCGCTTCCTCTGTCACGATTCCACCGTAACTTTTAATCCTTGAGAGCATCATGAAATTCAGTAAGACGTGATCGCAGCTTACTGCTTACGAAAGTTTTTAAGTAACCTACGTCAGTAGTAAGCTTTGAAGTAAAGGAACTACCTCATAAGTTGTGCAGCTTTAAAACTGAACAAGGACTGGAGCCCTTGACTCGGATAAATTTTTCAAATACCTTATTTGCACTTATTAAAACCCTGCGAGCGTGAACACTCTCGTACAACGATATTCAGCATGGTGCGGTTTGAGGCTTCGGCAGAAGCCAAGTGCCGAAATTTTTCTACCTTCTTTTTCTTGTTTCTTGTTTTTTTTTTCTTTTCTTTTGGACCACGTGAAACTACCCTAAATTTCAATAAAACTGAAAAATATTTGACAAAAGTGAGGGTAAAACATTCTAGGGCCCAAATTAAACCAATGGGTGCAAGGATGGCTATGGATAGATGGTGAGAATACGAGACACGTTTGCTTTTTGAGTGTAAGTCGCCTCAGTAAGTCCTAGGTGAGTTATTTTTATGCTGATAAACCGCTCGAATGCGCAAGCAATTAATTGAAGGAACGGACTTAAATATTTTACTTTTGTTTCGTATGGGTTTCCTGTCGCAATTAACTAAAGCTGGGCGATCTTTTGACCAACCGAATAAATATGACACAACTCTTTCGATACTAAGAAAGTGAAATGCTTGAACGTTCGCATTGCGTGACTATTTCAATGGGGCTGCAGGAGCAATTGCGTTAATCTTTCTTGATCCATAGCATCCTGGTTCCCCACGTAGTTTTGTCCTATCTCTTTTGTGTTCGTCTACTCAGTCAAATTGTTACTTAACGATTTTCTTCAAAATTAACAGTATTCCTCAACGATACACAAAAAAAACAACTCAAAGTAAATAACGTGACGTTGCAGCACGGCGACGCCGTGCGTGGGTGGGATGGAATTTATCTTGAAAGGGAATACTGTAGAACGTGTTCCTGTTCATTGTATCACACGGCATAAAATGCACGAATACTTGACATTATAACACACTATTATACACATAGTATGTTGGTGTACACCAATATAATCATTATGCTTTGTTGTTGATATAGCACCGAGATAGAAGAATACAATATTTCTAATTCTTAGATAAAGTTAACTATTTTTAGAACCTTTGAGCAGCAGAGCGAAGACGTTGATCGCTCGTCGCCCAATTTTGACTAGCCAGTCAGACAGGAGACTCTTTTTTCCTGTTGGTAATTCAGGATTGAAAATGATAAATGATACTGGCACTGTTCATGTCAAGATCAAGTACAAGAACTCAAGGATCCGATTAATGGCAACTCAATCACTCGTGATTGCAATTTCCTTCGGGCTGTTTTTATGGTCACGTACTAATGTCAACAAAGCCTTATTTATGTGATTGTGGATATTGCCACCTGAAAGGAAAAAATGTGTATCGTTCACGTCTTGATTGAAACATGTACACCGTGGCTAATATGCTTCAAACTGTATCCACAGAAACGGAAATTACACAAGGAAAATGGAAAACAAGAAGACGAGAAATTATTTATTGCTAATCTTGTATTGAAAGATATGTAAACAAGTTTATTTAATGCAAGGATAATAAAAATTCCTCTTCGGATGTTGATCGATTTCGCATGTAAACTAAGAGTAGTACGAGAGAAAGGTAATAGCAGATATAGAGGATACGACAAAGAAGCAAATTAGCCTCACCATATCGGATTTTAGGGTTTTTTAAAAACGATTTCGAGGGAATCTTTTGTCCTCAAACCACAAGCAAACCACAAGCAAACCACAAGCAGACCACACTATGTGTTCGTGGTTAACAATTGTTGACGTGGCCCCCAGGCGGTCTGAGCTCCAGTTGTGAGATGATCATCTTGCGAAATAAGAGTCGGGAATATTAATATGTGATTAACACAGTTTATATATAAGGGGCACGGTAAAATTATAAGAGCTTGTATGGGAATGTTCTCGACCGCTCTTAGGAATTTAAAAAATATAGTGAAATTCTCTATAAAAATACTTCACTTTACTTCCACAGTGCATCGCTTCTTGTCTTACCGCTTACTGTGTTGAAAAAAAACCATTTTAGCGAGTTATCCATTTCTAGGTTTACTACGTATATGAGAAAGGTCCTTCTCTTATGCTGAAACCCTTGGTTTTGAACCGCGGTGGGCTGCCACTCAGTGGAAGTTGCTGCACTGTAATTTGAGTTTGGCACCGATCGGATTATGAAAGCTATTCTCATCATTTCAGCATTGATTTTCTCGGAAAATGTTGGAGGGATAAAGCTCAAACCTGGCCAAGAGATAAAGCAACGCCTCATTGATCAAAAACTGTCGCATTTAGGAGAGATTTTCAGTAGTTTGGCGTTAACTCCACTTTGAAGTGGAGAAGGTCGCGGCTGGCGGCCACCAAGTTGCAAGCTTTGTTGCCCTGTTTACTCTTAAGGGCCTCCGGCTAAAAGTAATTTCGTAGAAAGACATTTCAAATGGCCCTTGAAGGCGAAAAAAAAAATGAGTTGATTAACATTTCATTTAACTTTATTGAGATATTCAGACCGAGATATAATTTTGGTATGCAATGTTCAGAGCTTTATTCATGACTCTCGTAGATTTTGTTTATCTCACGTCAATAATTATTAACCACGTACAGATTGAGTGGTCTCCCTGTGCCCAAACCACATATTTTTAGGTGTTCTTGAAATATTACGTATGGATGTCTTCGTTTCCTAGGTTACCCTGACGTCACACGTGCAAATTGAAACTCTAGTAGGCTAGAATGTTTGCATATTTGGCGTGGCCAATTGTTCTCATTGCTGCTTTGAGAATCCAGAGGTGTGTGCTTTCTCTCAGGAGAGTTTCTGCGCGATTTTTTTGAGGTAGGAAATTTAACAGGTACCTTTAATCGATCTTGCTAATGAGGAAAACTCCAACTCGGGTTTAACTGGATTTTTGTCTTTCATAAAATCAGTTAGAGATTTGCGATACTGGTTGTCAACAACGTCACGTAGCTCGGCTTTAAGCAACGCCTTTTGTCTGAAAAAAAAAACGCTTGGGGTTTACCTCGGTGTTAAGTAATTTTGGGGCTTTTTTAAGTTTCTTAGTAGCGATTCATTGACTTACACGCGTCTTTGGGACGTATATACCTCGCCTTGGTCGCTACAGTTATGTTTCGTTGATGATCTCCGCGCTTAATATTTGTCGTGTGTTTGTATTACTCCTCGAAGTCAGAATAACCTTTCGATGCTGCAAACAAATATATAGATCTGCCCAGAGCGTTGTGGCTTGTAGCAGGATTGTAACTGAGCATCTTTAGTTCATTTTGTTCGTGTATATTTATTTTCAGCGTCGTAAACATGTAACAAGTTTCTACATTATGCTTTTGTTTGAGCAGTAATATAAAACCACCTACTGATCGAAAGGAATGATTTTATAACGACGTGTAACATTGTAGCTAAAGGCTTCTTAACAAACCTTTTTCTGCTATTGTTTTCGGAAAGTCACTTCAACTCTTATATCGATGTTGTCGGGTCCAGAGAGTGGAAAATTTCATTTGTGATGAAAATTTAGTAGAAACTGAGAACAGCTATCCAAACAGGTGAATATCAAGTTCTCTCCGACTACAGTCGATTTGCCCGTTTATCTAGTTTTACTGATGTGAATCGGGATTAGGACTTATGTTTTTATTTTATTTGTTTCCGGATGAAATTTTCTACCCGTAGTCAAATTGAAATTCGTGTTCTTTGAATATTATTCATTACAACCTATTCTACATTCATATCATGTCAATATCCATCAAGTCCTACGGTCTGCTGTAACGCAACCTCTACCCGTGTGGTTGCTAATTAAGTTTACTTTTTATTCGTTGATCGCTCTTAAATAATACAGGAAAAAGGCAGCTTATGGGCTAAAACAAATTTCTGCTATCCGCGATCTCTACTTGCTTCCAATCTATTTGATTTCAATTATTGAAACTAAAGAAACGAAAAGCATTATTTTTCTTATTCAAAACCCATCACGATATTTTCAAATATCATCACTCGCTTGGCAACTAGATTTTACTGTTCGACGAAAGATTTTAATTTGACGTCTTATAATGTATAAACATATTGAGGAAAACTTTCGAAGCAAATCAGTATTTTGCAGGTCAGTGGACTTTGCTACTGTCATTGCTAAATGGCTTACATCTGTTGACTCTTTACAAATCGCCATGGAAACCAGAACCATAAACAAAAAATGTTTTACCGAAATTCTTGACTTTTCGAGGTTTATTCAAGTGGTGATCTCGTTACATATAACACCCAAGCGAACTAAGGATAGCATCATCCTTTTTTGTTAAGTTTTGCTAAATTTTTTTCCGCATTGAACAGCCGTTCTGCTCGCCAAATATTTCTCTGAGGACGTCACCACCGCATCAGTCGCCTTACGCAGAATGTTTAATGAGAGTTTAATTAAGAAATGTTTTTCGTAATCTTGTTATCGCTAAAGATCTTTTTACGTTTGTTAAGAAGAAACATCGCTAGTTGCGGAAAAATAGTGCATATGGTTTTTTTCTTTGTTTGGTTTTTTTTTCTTTTTTGCGAGACTCGCAGGGTATTATTCTTGGACGGGAACAAAATGACCTGTAATGCGCACGCGATAACACTCCAGTCTCGTTCAAAAATGTCACTTGGTTACTTAAACATGGCATTTTGCATATTTCATCAATGGCTTATCGCGATGGATAGAATCTATTTAAAACTAAGAAAAGTTTGCTTCGTTCTGTGAATTGTCAAAGCAGAGAACCCCCTTAGTAGATAATTTGGTTCAATCTACACAGGCGTTAATGATATAGTAAATTGGTCACCGTTAAGTTGTTTCTACTAGTAGCCCTTCGCCAGAGTGAAAACATCTTGATAGCACTTCAAGTGCACTTGTAAACGTTAACTTAAACATTAAACATTAATGGAGTTATGACAAGATGTCATCCAACAAATTAAAGAATTAGGTTTAAAGAACGGCCTCGAAGACCATTTACAAAAATGCCTAAATTTGAAATTGTTTCACCAGTTAAATTAAAAACACAGTCGATTAGGTTAGTTTCAATAGTTACTGCTGCAGGGCATTTTGTGCGAATTCATAATTAGCTCATTTCAGTCGCGTCGATGACTCTACGACAGTTGTTTTCGTCATTTGGGGTTTCATTTGTATTTCTTTTACTTACCGTTCGTCTTTTTCTTACTATTTCACTGCGGCAGTTGTGAAAAATCGTTTTTTTTCGGGTTGCAAACGGTTTTGTTACTGATACAAGATTGACAGTTATTCTGAGGAGTAATTATACATGAAGAAATAATTTGAATGTTCTTGACGGATACGTGATTAAACATTAATCTTAGTTGAGCGGAACCGGCATACAAATATGTAAACATTGAACTGGTGTTTACGGCTCTTGCGTCTTAAATTTTGCGAAGCAGGAGGGGGGAAGAAGGGAGCAATTAAAGACCCAGACTCCGTTTTGGAAATATAAGGGAGCTCAGCCTTTTCGCGTTCCCCAAATTTCTTTTGAGGGATTTATCAGAATCGCAAAGTTAAATTTGCAGAGCAAAATGCTCATTTTCATCACCTGGTCAATATATTTCGCAAGATGATTTGTGACACAAATCATTTCGCGAAATATTCAGTTGTAGAAGTATCGTTTCGATCACCTACATGCTCGGGAATGTCACAAATCGGTAACGAACTCGCTTGATAGTGGAAAGATTTCGCAGCGGTTTATTTTCCTTTACGAAACACACACAAGACATTCTGGGAAATTTTAGCTGGATTATGCGCTTAGTTTGGTTTGAGATGAGTGAACGGAGATAACAACATACTGTTTGTCATCTTTTCGACAGTCAGCCCCTAGATTTTGTAAGGAGTGATCATAATGGCCCAGATAGTGACCACCCAGCCTGGCACAACTATTGTGGTGCAACAAACTCAAGCTGTGAGGGGCTGGAATTCTGGATTGTTTTCCTGCTTTGATGATATTGGAGGCTGTAAGTTATACCTGTGATAAGCTGCGAAAAGTTTTGATCGCCATGGCGACTAAATTTGCGGCTAAAAAAGCCAATAATATACTTGGCGATTTTATACGCCGATCGCGGCGATCGGCGAAAAGCAAAAATCGCCAAATGTGTCCGGTGCAGCGATGGTGATTTAATTTGGTATGTCAGATTTCAACGATTTTCGCCGGCGTTTAAATTAGCTAGTTGGATCGGCGAATTAAAATCGCCAAGTGTGTTACTAGCTTAAGTTGCCATTTTGCCGACATGCGTTCGGCGGTCAAGTAGCAAGTTGTAACGTTTTCATAAGTTATTTCAGGAGCCCATTGGCTCCTGGTTATTTCTTGGTTTCTGACATCAGAGTGAGATAACAATTTCAAAGAATATTAGTCATAATTAATTTCACTGACGAACCGAATAGAACGACCTAATTTTAACGAAGGATCGAAACAGTGTCCCGTCGTTTCGTACCGAGGTACGTTTCGCACTCATTTTGTGTCGGTTCATACTCAACCTGCTGGTCAGTTCGTGCCCGTCCCCACATTCAGTTACGATCAAAACCCAGGAGATCTCACGAAACGCCTAACGCAGATATTTTCTTGCTATTTTACGCAAACAAACCAACATTTAAATGTTGGCGATCAAAACTTTTCGCAGCTTATCACAGGTAGAGTTAATAACTCTAATCACAGTTTGGCTTGTGGAAAAGACCGACCAATCAGTTCTCACGAACAGACTTACAATGCTAACTAACAAACAATTTCACACTTGACTCTGATAATGAACGCCGCTCAAGTTGTCAATCACCAACTAAAGTTTTCCATGGCTTCTTTCATCCGAACGATCGGGCCTAACGATCAGAGATTGACAAATTGAATGTGTTTGGTTTTTTTGTCTGTGTACAGGCCTGTTTGGGTGGTGCTGCCCCTGCTGCTTGTTGTGCAGCCTTTCAACCCGTATGGGTGAAGGGTTCGCTTATGGCTGTTGCTGCTACGAGATTGCTCCGTTCACTCTGAGGGCCAAGCTCAGAGCTGAGCAGCACATTGAGGTGGGTCCTTAAACGCTTTAGACTTCTCCCGCTATATAACAGCTGATATCTCCTTTTTTGAATCATTTCAATAACAAAAGCAGCAATAATAACAAACTTTCATCTACCAAGCAGAAAAAGACTGGAACAGCTCTCCGATTAACTTTGAAGAAGCGATTGCATAATATTTTATGTAAAGTTGAGAACGTTTTTGAACAGATTGTGACTTATTTCACCTAAACATTGTTAAAGTGTTCCAGCTGAGGCGACGTTTCTTAAGCCAGAGCAGAAGCCACCATCCGAGTCAATTGTGACTTTGATGAAGATTACTTCCACTTCTTAGACTCTCCGGGACAATCATACATGCAAGAGGGACTAGCATCTAATTTCTCCTTCATATAATGTCACCTCTGAATCAAACGTAAAAGCCACGCAAATAAAGGAAATAATTACTAACTAAAGAAGCTCTTGATTATTTAACAAATTCTTCGTGTGAGAATCTTAGAAAAGGTATAGGAAACAGTACGGAGGATATGCATACTGTTGTTAGGGTGTGAAGGTGTGAATGGTTAAAGAACCACGCCCCGAGGGGGCCAAAGTCAGTTCAAGGTCCGTGTTCAACACGTTATCTTTTCCGTCCTACTGTGTTGATTGCTCTCCCCTTTGGTTTATTTTCCTCTTTCTTAAGACGAACAACTACGAGTTGTAGATTTTTCAATTGTTAAACATTAAGCACGAGAACCTGCGTTATTAAGCGAGACACAATAGTCGTATTTATTCATGGAAAAGTCTTGGCGTAAGTTGCTCAGTGGTAAAGACGTGAGTGTTATCGTTTACCGTATACGGGAAAGGTCTCAGTTAAGTCCGATAACAATAATTGTGAAAACTTTTGTGATCGAAAAGGGTACAGTGAAAGTTCACGGGGTAAAAATATTTTAGTACTTCGCGAAAAACATGAATCCAAAGTTAAAGTTCTCTATCACCGTTAAGTTTGTTTCTTTGTAAAGTGACTTTGCTCAACATTTGACTCTACATTGACGACACTTAACTCCCTTTTTTCTTTCTTTCTTTCTTCCTTTTTTACTTCCTTCCTTCCTTTCTTTCTCTTTTTAATTAGGCATGTAAAGTCATTACTTATCTAAATTACATTTTTTTTCTTTGCGGCAGGGATCCCTTTGCAACGATGCAATCACTATCTTATTTTGCGGGGAATGTACCCTGTGTCAGATGGATCGTGAACTCAAAGCCATCGGCAAATAGAGAGGAGTGCTTCTGGAGGACAGCGACAGAGATATGCGCTTTCATTTATATTGTGAAGCCTTTATTTAGGCGTTTTCCTCTTCAATCTAGTTTTTAGATCTTCTTTCAGTTAGTGCCAAGTGTGTCGTAGTGGATCATGACGTGATTTTGTTTAGGCTTTTTTTAGGTACAATCATTTATTTCTTTTGCTGGTATTGTTTTTTTTGATAACGCGCCAAGTGCACGTGCGTGTGGTTTACAGTAGGTTTTTCAGTACCACGCTGGTGCGTGAGATTATATATTCAGCACGATTGAAAAATTGTAACCAGCTAGTACAAAACCGTACTTAATAAACTGCTTTAATATTTTCGTCCTGTTGCTTGTTGCTGTACTTTTGCTCAAATCTTAAGTCTCCATCCCGATTAGCGTGCCTAGCTTGCCACAGGGAGATGCTGTGCTCTAGATGTTAGCCCACCGGACTTCGGATCGAGTCGTCGTGTTTAAGCTTCAGCCAGGTCATAATGATGTTAGTTCTTAACCCCCCTTCCCTGCTTGGCCCCCCCCCTTCCCTCAGGGGTGTACACGGGTCATCATCATCATCAATCTTTATTTATACACGAAATCATATCATTTTACATAGTCTTCCTAGGAATCGTGTTTAAATTATACTAAAACGGGTACCGGCAAACTGTTAGGGGAACCTGAATAAATGCATGGTAATAGGGAGGTGAGAGGGGAATTTGCGATCTACCAGCATTTTATCTGGGGGGGAGGGGAATGCAGGGCCATGGAACCACGTAACTGCTCGCGCTGGCGCACCCTCTCAGATCCGTCAATACTTGATTATCTGACGGTCCTACTGCACAAATTAAATCAAATAAAATCTGTCTGTAAAACCTTGTCACCTAAGTTCAAATTTCGGCAGTGACAGCGTGCATGAAAACATACCACATGAAACTGAATGAAAACTTCGCCAATAATTTAATGTGAAACAAATATATGTACACTTATTCTTTTTAAATTACGTTTGTTTAAGCCTCCTCTTGCAATAAATATTTATATTAAAACACTTTCTTAAATAACGATAACTTTAAGTCGCGGTTCAACCCTTTGTTTCTTGTCCTTATTCAGCACAACAAATTTCCGGTGCCTATACCGTCGGTTATAACTGCAAAGTCCTGCAACAAAGACGACGACGAGAACGAAAAAACTCACAGAGACTGCGATGTAAACCTGTGTGGATTCTGCTGCTTGCAATCCAGTCGGGCTTGTATTTGTAACTGGTTTCATCGTCGCAATTGTTCGCGGTTTCGTACTGATCAAATGCGTTTTTTCAGAAGTACTTTGCAGCATTGTTTTGATGGGCTTCTTCGTGATAGACGTTGGTTTAATATCTGAGAGCTTGGTATCACAAGAAGTCCCAGTCCAAGGTTTGAAACAATAGCATATACCGATGTTAGTACATATACCATTACCAGAGCAGTTCTTGGGACATAGAAGCGCTTTTCCGAGTAGTGCTCTAATAGGTACACATTTTCTGTTCAGGCACACTTTTCCATCAGTGCATTTTGTTCCATCAAGGGTCATCGCAGCCTCCGATACATCCACGCCCATTTGTAAATTAGTACCTTTACATGTGACTGTCTTGCTTTGAAATGGCCACTGGGAACCCATTACGTCTCTTTGTATACCTATGATAGGCCACTGATTGCTAGCAAGGCACCATAGTTTACCACATTTTGCGTTCTTTAGCTTGCACGGTCGATACTTTCCTTTCTTCGTCTTATGGCAAAACCCATACTTGTTGCCACGCGTGTTGTGGTAATTATAGCACTTATCTGGACCAGAAACGGCATCGCGGCCCCACAGGTCTTGACATTGGCTGTCGTGGGTTAAACATTGCCCAGAGTAACAGTAGGCCGTGTTATTGGCGCAAGAGTAACCATTGTAAACGAAGACGTCCTTAGGACAACTCCCAGAAGATCCAGTACAGAATTCTGGGATGTCACATTCGTTCACAGTCTCCCTGCAAGCACTTCCGCTCTTTTTAAACATGCACTTCTCACAGCAAGGGCCCCCAGCACACTGCACATGCGCGTACAGCTTGCAAGTCACATGATCACAACAGGCGTTTCCCTTAGCAGCGCATTCTTGTGCAGTACCACAATCACACTCCTCGTCCCCTCCAACTATCCCGTCTCCACATACAGGATCCCCGTACAACGTTCTAGGGACATTAAAAAGGCATGATCCTAAGCCCCGCGATAGTGTTTCGTAAAGTCCTTTGAGACTGCAGTTACTGAAGCCAGTGGCTGGTTCACGGCCGACATGCTCGCTCATAACGCAACCGCGCGAATTGGGTGATTTACACACGCAACGAGGTAGGTCCTCATCGTGATACATGCCGAACACATGGCCTAGTTCATGGGCAAATGTACTGGCAGTAAAAGCTGCATTTCGGCTGTAATCTTGGATCACGCCTGCCGATTGATCTGTGCAAATTGTCATCACATGAGCCTTACCTCGAACGGAATCTTTAAGTGACACTCCCGTCAAAAGTTTTGTTACGTCGCTCGGATATTTTCGCCGTCTCTTTTGTCTGTATTTCACTAAATTTGACAAGTATGTATCGGCATTAGCGTCCGCTTTGACTTTGTCCAAAACGTCCCACGTTTCTATGGCGACCAATACTACACGAACATTCAACGGCTTGAAAATGGCGTCCACTATATTTGCAATTTGTTTGGCTCGCAAATTTGTCTTCGTCAAATTCTTCCCACAAGCCTCAAACTGCTTGTGATCGTTAATTATAAGCATTTCAACATATTTGGTCTCGGTGAAGACATTTTTACGAACTCTTCTTCGAGTTTTGACGTTGCCAATTCTTCTTTCTGAAACTTGTCTTTCTGTATTAACCGTTTGAATACCGCTATCCTGAATTATCCTTTGACCACGCGGATTATATTCAACCAGACTAAGATCTTTTATCTTGTAGAACAAATGAAAGGAGCGGTCCGTAGGTTCAATATAGTAAGATGTTTCACCGTCATATATAAGCCCCTCTACACCTTCACAAGTGCTCAGGGACACACTCGACTTTGCCCTACCCCTGACGAGTCCGTGAAAGAAACAATGATCAACTTTTCCAGCGTCGTTTCCAGAGTCATTGAAGTGTTCGTGTCTTTCGAGGTACTGCGAGGTAAATAGACCACGATTCTGATATAGGTCGAGTGTGAAGTTTTGTTGAAAGGCTTCAAATGTTATTTCTGCTTTTATGTCTCTTTTTCCTATCTGCAAAACAAAGATGTCAGAAGAATTAATGTTTTAATTTTTTTTTTTAGATTCAGGCCTTTTTCACCTTTTTATAGTTAAATATAGCAAAAACACTTGAAGGTTTTAATGTCTTAAGCGGATATTATGTCAAGTTGCAACAACGTAAGGGAAAACCATCAATACATAGCACGAGGATTAAAGTGGAAACCCTTTAAAACCATCCTAAATCTGTGCGCAATCAAGATTTGGCAGCTCAGTCCTTCTCATATCTACACAATGAATAGCTTCGAAGACGACAAAGACACTCCTTCTTCGTTGATCTGTATTACTGTGCTTAGCTTTGCTCGCCTGATGACATGCATCAATTCGGTATAATAAGATCTGAAGAGGGATTTTTCAAGAGGGATTAAAATATTTTTAGCTTGGCCCTTTTGATGATTAACTCTAATTAATCAGTAGATTCGAATGTAGGTTCTGACTTGCATGTCACGACTATCCATTCTCAAAAATTATGCAGAGCGAAAGAAGCTTGTAGCAATCCGAGGAAAGAAAAGGCTTTTTGAACAGTCCTTCTTTTCCCGAAACCCGCATGATTTCTGAAAAGGAGCGAAGGTTGTGCCTGAATTCTTCGGTACTAGTTCGGAAATTTTCGGAAACTTCGCACGTCTCAGGAAATGTTCGACGCCTCTGACCAAAGATTCATTCTCTGACTCTTTGACTCTTGAGATGAAAACAAGATTAAAGTAACGCAATACATGCACTTCATGATGGGATTTCGTTGAAAGATACTCTCACGTACTTCTTTTTTTCTTTTCCCGTGATAGCAGAGATCCATTTGGTTTACGTTTTTGGGTGAACGTCACTCTTAAAACACATTAGTCCTTGAAGACTTTTGCAGAAATTTGACATGAATGCTAAGAAGTACACAAGGCGAACAGAAGCTCACATTTTATCCAAAACTTCCAGTGGTTGACAAATATATTGCTGTGAACATGCACTTGTCCAAGTGCCTTGTCTTGATTTTGTGTTGTCGCCTGCTCAAATTAAATAATCTCGAATGTTGCCCACATGCCTGTCGCGTTTTTTTCGCACTTCAGTACTTTTTCTCAAAAGCGCACTTTAGCCTACTCAAGCTCTCAAAACGAAAACAATGAAAACGAAATGATACAGCCGCAGACCAACACAGATCAAAACGCTATTAATGTCCTCTTCAATTTCGGCGATTCCACGAAGTCAATTTCCAGTTTAATCTTAACACTCGTGACACTATTCAAGTTAATGTCTTCCCCCTGCGGAAAGCCACATAAGCTAAGCTTTATGAAAACAAATCTCAAGGAATATAGATAATTGTCTGCTTGTAAACCGATTGATTTCAGATAGGTTCCGACGTTAGAATACCTGATCCGGAGACCCCCTCGAGATCACGAACGTGCGTGAATGGTTTATTTAACGCTCGAATAAGAGGATTCTGAGCCGTAGATCTTTCTTGAATATTCTCCATCAGACTGTCAACAATCACGTTCGATGGCGTCGAGGTTGTAATCTAATCACAAGGGCTAGTGGTTTTCCTCAAGCCCCTCCTAGGTGGATATGTCTGCCTAAATAATGTGCAAACCGTACCATTCGACGTTTAATACATGTCTTATATCGTGCAATAATAAAACGGCAAAATATTACTCACCATTCTTTGTCTGCCGCTTAAACCTCCACTTTTCCATGCTCGGTTGTCTTCAGTGATATATCTCAGCCGAGGTAAGACATATTGATGGTTTTGACGAATAGTAATCCATGTCTGATCGTGAGCACGAGCATTCGAGCCACCCGTGAACTGCACGCAAAGTTGCAGGTTAAAAAATACCCACAGCGGAAAAGAACTCCTTGCCATATCCACCGGTGAATCGCCTTTAAGAAAAGCTGATCTTAAAGCGATAATCGATCGTAAACTCTTTGGAAAACCAGGAGGATGAACGCGAACAAGATAATAATATTTGGACTAAGTCTTTGTCATCAATGTCAACACCGGCGTGAAGAAATGTCCTATGTTAATTGTTCGTCGCCATCAAAACATGTTCCGTAACGTGAAACGAATTGTAAAATCTGGCCATCTTCATCATCACAATGATCAAGGAAATATTGGCTTGCTTACATTTCAAACTTTGCGGTTATGATCGGGCGCGAGCCTGCCCGGAAACTATTGACATCAAATGTTTTTTCTTACCATTCGCCGCTTTGTGACAGACGCGGTCATAAAAACGTCGTAATTTCTTGTGTTTAAAGATTGAGTCGCAATTAATTATGCTCTTAACATACCAGGTCACTCTTCTCACATCATCTTCTATGTCAAAAATCCTAACACTTCGAAGTAGTAAAAGTAGGACGAAATGAAAGGGCGACGAACCACAAAGTGCAAAGTGGTTGATTCCGCGTAAAACTCAATATATATCAACTGTTTGTTTATACTTATGTCGCTCACTAATTGGACTGCCTTAATCCCGTCTATTGTTTTTGAATGAACAATTCAAACATTTAACGAACATGACATGAAAAGATGCCCTAAGAATCCTGTGAATGATTTCTAGGCTGGCAATATCACTTCAAATGTGTAAATCATACGCATGCTAGTGATTGATGTTATCTCGGTCTTACACACACCTTTTTCAAGAAGCAATAAAAACACATTTATTGTTCCTTAATGACCTGTTACTCATTCACCGTGTGAGACCCATAATCTAATTAGGCGTGGACCGACTCGAGAATAATCATTTGTTATTGTTCAGATTATGGCTAGCGATAAGCCACAACGAGCCGTCTTCTCAATCTCGACGCAACACAATCGTAGCTGCCCAGAAAGGATAAAGTTGATTCTCCTTCGCTGCAGGCAAGAGGCTTTTGCCCCCCTTGAGAACACGACAACAATCGATCTTGCTTCACGTCTAAAATGACAGGCATACATTCGAGACAGATTCAAGGAAAGACCGATGAAAAACGACAAAGATACAATAATTTTTTAATTGCGATTCATATGTTTCTGATGAGGCATAACACAGTCGACCGGTTTTTAGCATCGTGCACCGTCTGTCAAAAAATAAAGAGTCATCGCACCTGGAAACAATTTTGTACAATAGTTTCTCGAGTTTGTTATATATCAATCGGCCTATATCGTGTCGTTTTAGCGATTTACAAAATTGTCTCGAACTTTTTTACTCCCAGCGAAGATGTAACTTCTATTAAAACTTTTGAGACACTATTCAGCCTACAAGAATCAACAGTGCACACAATTATCAAGTGGACAACGTTATTTTGACTTAACACCAAATTCTCTCAACTAAATGACAAGGAAAGTCGTGTGATTGAAATAGAAAGAAATGTATCACTTTTTACTTTTTACTTATTTAGAAATACTCCAAAGAGGAATGTATAAACCAAAGCGAGGGAAGGATGGCTTCTGAATGGAAAAGCCAGAAACAGATTGCAAAAGACAAATGTAAACAGTCTTGGCCGCGCGCCACAAGAAGGCGGCCTTTTAATCCACAAACCATGTTTGACATGTACGTTCTTTAATTTTTTTTTTTGAATACATGAAATGATTTCAATTTCCGTGCCGCATCACTTTTGCATTAATTAAATACCATTCATTTCACAGTACTTATCCGATCAGACAGTTCTTTTTACTTAAATTGCAAGGAATGTGAAAATCTCAATCCAAATTGCAAGGGATTTGAAATTTTAAAGATTCCGCCGTTAGAGCACGCTCTTGATTACACATTACAATGTCAGAGAAACTACAGTTTACGTTGCCTTGCGTTTCTCTATCATGATAAGTCTTCACTGATAAATTCATTTCGATCCTCTCCTCGTGACATCCACAAGGAAAAAGTTTAAAATTACCCTGCTACAACTTCAAGACTATCGACTAACGTATTCTTAAACTTTCCCTAAAAGCCTTACCACTTGATTTTGTGATGTCCATAGTCATACAAAGTACTTGAATACTGTATTTTCTCTTTATTTACGTTTCAATCGAGAAAATCTTTAATCCCTTAACTCCCAGATCAAATTTGTTATTCTCCTTACTGTCAACCCAGCAACTCTTATGATGTTAGTTCAGAGAATTTAGTATTGGTTCAACTAATTATCCCCAAATTGATATATATTTTTTTTATTCTCATTACTTATCTGGTTGATTTTGTATTTATATTGTAAGGAGAAACTCTGTCTTGGTCACTTATGGGAGTTAAAGGATCAACCTTTTCACTCCCAAGATCTCTGAGGAATTCTCCTTACAGTCTGTCGTACAATTCGTATGATGTGAGGTTGTAGAATTAGGCATTGGATCAACTAATAATAATTCCCTGATTGATATTTTTCTTTATTCTCATCACCTGTCCACCTGTCCACTGTATTGATATCGTAAGAGAAATTCTGTCTTGGTCACCCGTCGGAGTTACAGGGTTAACAAATATGATATAGAATACTTTTGTGTCAGATAGCCTAACAGTTCTATGGAATAACGTAAAGCCCTCTTTAGTGATATGGGTTCCATTCAGTATTTTTACCCACTGAGTAAACGGGCTTCCTACCCAGTATTGTTCTATAAACATACCCCGATTATTTTCCTGAAGTAGGACCGAAATTTGAACCAGCTTGTAACTTCGGTATAAGTCTGATGAGTTCATGGTTTACTGAAGCCATCAAAATGCGACCTGTAGTTAATGCTTTCATTATCTTTTGACATCTTATTTTTTCAGTTCGCCATGCACATTTTCATCATAGAAAACGCCGGTCATTAAAATATTAATTGTTGCAAGATGTCTCTTCTTATCTCTCCGCCAAACACTTCAAATTAACGCTAATCGTGAGTAGTTTGTCATGAGGGAGGAAACTCTATATCTTAATTGATATTCCGGCTCATTACACCAGATCCCAATTACTGACTTGTTGAGTGTTTCAGTTACGCCTCTCCCGATTGCGCCCGTAAAATGATGGAAAGTTGCTCACTGGAATGTCAAAAATTTGCTCCTGAGAAATTGCCAAAATTTCAAAACGTTAAAAGTTGCTTCCTATATTTCTTGATGTTTTTATTTAAACGTTAATTCACAGTAATTGCTAACATTAGGCAAGAAAAAATAGCTTTGAACTTAACTTTAAAGAGCTGCTCGCAAATATGGGCGACATTTAAGGATACTTTAGTCTGACGGAACAAACCACATGGTTCATTGGACGTCCTGCTGAACCTCATTTCAGCCAATTATCCGTTATAATGTTAGATAAAGATCGCAACAGGCCTGCGAAACCATGTCATGTGACAGCTTATGTGTAGATCTATTATGAAATCGTCGTCGACTTTTTCGTGCTTGACAAGTGCTTCAAATTTACATTTTGTTCAGAAATTGCTCGAAGTTGCTAGAACCTCAAAAAATTGATCCAAACGCCAAAAGTTTCTCTAAAGTTACCAAGCCAGCAATCGGGGTAGGCTTTGTCTCCTCTAACTAAGAAGTTGCTGGTGCTGCTGCTGTTTGGATTTTATTTTATCCCATCTTTTTGCGAAGTGAGAGGGAGGGAGTAGGGTAGCAAATCATATCGTGTGGACTTATGTTATCAAGCTTTAAGAGAGTACCGCCCGGTCCGCCTCGTGAAGATTTCCTCCTTCTTGAAGCCGTGAGAACGCGGGCTCCTATCACGAACAGCGGCTTGATAGTCACGTGATGATATGTATTTCACCTATTCGTGGTAAACAGCAAGCTCTTCATGAGGTGTTGCAACTCAAATTTATATATAGTCGATTGATTACAGGTTTTCAAAGAGAAGTGTAGAGAGATAAAAAATATTCAAGTTATATTGGGCATGTTACTGCCTCAAAATGACCTTCTTTTGCAAGAAAAGTTTGTTTTTCCCGCTCTTGGCGTCAACGCTGATCGGTTTCCTTTTTTGGGTGTTTGATAAACAAACCTATTACGAGAATTGTTCAGTTGTCAAAGCAGCGATTGGACGAAACAACAGATCAATTAGCAGCTTACTAAGTTCGTGAACGAAGAAGGTACTTAAACGCTCAAGAAGTATTGAATGAACCGTCGGGAAATTTGTGGAATTTCTTACTTGACAATGAAGTGTTACATTTGTCTCTGATGCTGCTGGTTTGAAAAGAACTATTGATGATCAATGGAATGCTGGAATGCGGTTGATGCAGCTTGGCTGTCGATTATCACCCTTTTGGTTGCATTGCAGGTGGGCAATTTAATACTAGCTTAATACTTACTCTATTCTAATAACTAGCCAAGTTATTAACGACGATAAATTCATTTCCGTTTCAAGAAGTGTGCGGCCATATCGACGATATTGGAAATAGTCTCTTGGGAGAAGTGAAATAGCTGAAACTTTAGTATTGTCACGCGAAAATTTTGCTTACATTCCTCACGGCAAATATGCATTGTAATATTGCTAACTTCAGCCTGTGGGCTCACCCAACAAGAAAGTTTATAGGTTAGACATTTTGCACTTGAGAATTAGCATTGTTGTGGTTGAAGTTCGCTGACACATCATTTGTCATTGCTGTTTTAACCGCATGGAAATTAGATTCGATGCATTTAGAAATCGTTAGACAATGCAACGGAAGACGTAAGTGTAAAGCGGCCAAATGAAACTTCCGGATTTTCGTTGCCGATAATAACTTGATATAAGCGCAGATCTTATAACGCTTGAGTAGTCTTACGCTAAAGACCTCACTAATAGATTTTTTAAAACGTTGAATCAACAGAAAAGTAATGTTTTGATGCCTTTTGACATTGTGGTAAACCTTGGAATTTAAACTTCCAGAACTTAAACTTCAGTCCACTAGTTCAACACTTCAGTTACTCTGAAAACATTTTCTCAAACTTGGCTTGCTATTGTGATTAAATTTCTCTTGTGGAACCAAACTCCTCTGTATTAGGCACTAAAGTTTTCTTGGCTCCTCTAAATGGATCACAGAGGAAAAACCGGATATTCTTTCAACTGAACTATTAAGAATTTAAATAATACTCAACCTATATTTTTCAAGGTAGTAATTTTGATCAAATGATCATTTTTAATTCTTTTACAGGGATTCAGCTTTGCAATTTATCAGGCTGGTGCCAGACCATGTCATTCATCAAATCTACATGTACTCTTTGTTTATGCTGTCATCAACTTCACTGTTGGCTCCATACTGTGGTATTTTGTTGGCTATTCTCTCTCTTTTGGTCCTTCACAAAATGTAAGGCTTTGCTGAAACCCCTTAACCAACTTCCTGTCTAGTCTATATCACAAATATCACAAGGAAGCATCAATTTTTCTGCATTTCACGGTCGGAAAATTTTCTTAAAATCTCAAAACAGTTCTTATTTTGTTTTGAAAGTTTCACCTTTCAGCATTTTAAGTGTCCTGGAAATAAGTACTGAGAAAACAACTTTTAGGCTTACTGATATTAAGTATTACTGTCCAGTATTCTGAGAAAAGACCACTGTTAGGTCATTAGGTGGAAAGTATCTAAACCTGATTGTTTTTGGACTAGAGCTGAGTATTATGGTTTTATGAAAATATAGAGGAAACTCAGGGTTCAGTCCAATTAAAGCAGTAAGTCACTTTGAATTTCCCTTAACTATCTATTATAGATCTCATTAGTTGATGATTTTATATATTGCCGGAAATTTTAATATTCCAAATATGTATATGAAAGGCCTATTCCTGTCCAAAGTAGAAAATGAAGAACAGCTGATATAACCCTCTTAGTTTCATATTCTTATTTCTGAAAGCTCCATTGAGATGAGGGAAAGTTTGGGTAGCATGCTTTCTTTCCCCATCCACTTCTTTTGAAGAAGTAATATCATGAGAGACCTCTGGGGCTCAGATTTGACATGTTTGGCAGAGAGGGACAGGGTATAGACTAATTTATATGGCAATCATGGAGGCAATTCTCAACTGGGAACTGCGAGTCCTTCTTCTACTTTTGATACAAAAAAGTAGTCAGCTCAAAAGCCAGTTGGCCCATTTTGCTGCTTAGCAGCTTATACTAGTTTCAGTAATCTGTGCTGTAGGAAGAATTGGTATGGTTACTTTCCTCCTGAATGAAATGCTAACTTAGGGGTATTCCTCACCCTCCCCTACAGAGTTTCTCAGTTTTCATTTATACTCTTAAATGGAGACGGAAACTTAAAGGGTTGGCCTTAGCCTGTATACAGATGCCTCCTACCCTCGCAAAAAAATAAAAAGGGGAAGTTGCTCTCCAAGATTTAATTCTTAGGGAAGGAGGCAGTTGCACACGGGTTAGGGTTGCTTAGGAACATAATGAAACAACTAGCCAGGGCTTAAATGCTGATCTTCTTCCCTTAAGTGGAACATTTTAGTTGCCATGCCACAGTGTCTTTTCTTCATCTTTACTGTTCAAATAATTTTGCATATTTGTTTTTCTAAAAATGATCCAATGTGGGCTGATGAGGTCTGAAACAAATAAATTATAGCCTGGATTATACCAGTTACTGCTAAAGAGGGTTTACTATGCCCTGATTGAGATGGCAGATTTGAATACAAAACCTGGCGCATGTTTTGTTCTTATTTGAGCTGCACAGGCCAACCACACCTCAATTTACTTAATTACAGTGTTTTCTGCCCTTTTTCTTAAAATTCTGGTCCTTTTTTCCTTTTGCAGGGCTTAATTGGAAGCCTTGATGATGCATTCTTTTTGGGTGTGTCTGGTTCCAAGTGTTCTGTTCATGCTGACTCTGTGCCAGGAATTCTTTTTGCAAGTTTTGAAATGATGCTGGCTGTCATTGCTCCTCTTATGCTTTTATCTGCTTGGTGAGGGAAAGTTTTCAGTTATCAATTTAGCTTGCTTAGTTAGGTGTACTTATTAAATTATTATTATGTTATGCTGTTTTAAGTGTCATTTGTAACTTTTTTTAGGGTAGATCAAATGAACATTCTTGGAGCATTGGTAAGATGTCACTTTTCAGTGATTATAAGTTATGACGTGTTTTTCAAAAGAGATTGTGTGACAGCGTTTGTATTATTCCTACCATTAATACTATTACTATCATTATTGTTATTATTATTCTTATTATTATCATTATTATTACTGTTAAGTCTGGTTGTAAATTCAATCATGTTGTTGGTTCCTTTTGCCATGTAATAGTTGATTATCGAGTCTGCATTGACAGTAAAGATAGCAAAAGATATACTGATACTTATTTTTGTAAACATTGTAGATTATTTATCTCCTTTGGCCAATATTTGTATATTATCCTCTTACTCACTGGATACGTGGAGAAGGATGGCTCCATCAGCACTTTGGAATTGTGGATCAGTCTGGAAGTTTGACAATACATGCCTCCACAGGTAATCCCTGGAGGGCTTAATACATGGATAATTAACCGTTTACACCCTAATATCAGTATGCATATTCTCTATTCTTTTCTCCATAAATTTCCTAAGGTGCTAAGTAGGAGAATTTGTTGAACAATCAAGAGTTTCTTTAGTTGGTGATTATCTCATTTATTCTCATGACCTTAATGTGTGATTCAGGGATGATATTGTAAGGAGAAATTAGATGCTGGTCACTGTTAAGGGTCGAAGGGTTGATGAAAAATCTGATATTTCTACTTTTGACAGGTTCCTCAGCACTTGTTTTCACTAAGGTCTTTAATGGGGTTCATGAAAACCAGACACACAAACAAGACCACAAGAAAGAGCATGTGCACTTTTTAAATGTATACCTTCTAGCTGGGGGTTTGGTTACTTCTCTAGGATGGTAAGCTTTCTTTTTGAGTTGATTATTTTTTATCATTTTGATCAGCTTTGTAAATTTGGAATGAATGTTTTATTTTCTTATCAAGACAGGTCTATCAATTGACATGACAAAACTTTTTTGGTGTAAATTTGGATGTAGGACTGTTATGGGTGGAGGGGCTTGTTTTGGTTTGACCCTGTTAACTTCACTGTATGTTGGAACTATTTTTCTAGGCACAGCATAGCATGTAATCAAATCTCATGTTAATTCTACACTTGAGCTGGTAGGTGGCTGGGTGTGATGCCAGTCCAGTTCAGGTTACTTCCTCCCCCCCTGATATTTTCTCAGGCTTCTTTGACAGTTCAACATTGTCCATTTATATTCCTGATTGGGAAGACACTTTTTGAAAATAAAGTTGCTAAGAGTTTTCTTTGTTGATTTTTTTGTCATTGTTACCCCTTGACACCTTAACATCAGTATGCATATTCTCCATACTGTTCTGTTTACATTGCCTAAGGTGCTGACAAGGAGAATTTGTTAAAAGATCAAGTGCTTCTTTAGTTGGGGATTATTTCCTTTATTCTCAGGACTTAAATGTTTAATTCAGGGGTGGTAATGTATGGAGAAATTAGATGCTAATCACTGTTAACTGTCAAAGGTTTATGACTTTTTTGCATCCATTTGTTTCATTAGGTATTGCACAAATGTTGGATCTGTGCATAAATTCAATAGTGCTGCAATACTTTCATTGGTTAATTCTGACCTCTCTGTCTGTGCATCTTTATTGAGCTGGTTGATTGTGATGTATCTCACCAAAAAAAATTACAGGATGACTGATCTTTTACAAGGCATCATAGTTGGTCTTGTAGGTAAGGTTCTTAAAAAGTGCAGATCAATGTCAGTATTTGAGCAACTACACACCTACCCCTCCCCTGACCCAACCACAGTCAACTGATAACAAGCTTGGGTTAATTTTAAGTTAGGGGAGGGGTAGGTGTACACATTCTCAGATACTGACAGTGATCAATGTCTCACACCCCCCCATACTTGTAAAAAGGTAAAGTCTGCACTTGAGCAAAGTGACCCATCCAGCTGAAGTTTATCATTTTGTAGTTCCTTTAGCTTGAAGGAACTAGGAATATTGTATCTGCCCCCCTGAATGGGATACTAGTCCATCACAGGTTACCCAAAGGCATTTTGTACCCTCTTGAAATTCAGTTTTTTTTTTTAATTTCATTCTTTTCTCCAAAAATAATGTTTGCCCTTTGAAAGGCACACCCCCTCAGAACTTAAGCTGACTCTCTGTTCTCAAGGGTTAGTACCTGTTGTTTGGTCTTTTGATGAGTCATGAATTTTTTTTCCTGTTGTTTTTACAGCTTTTTTTCTTGTTGTGTTTTAGGTGTGAGTGCATCTTCTGGTTCAATAGAACTGTGGGCTTCGATGATTATTGGACTTATTGTTGGTGTGATATCATCAGTTGTTTCATGGTCTGTACAGAAATACCAACCTTTATGGACCAGTATGGGAATGCATGATATCACCTATATTCATGGTGTTCCGGGCATCCTCGGGGCAGTAACAGGTAAAACATCTCAAAAATAACTATTAAATCGTGTAGGTATGAACTCTATAATGTTCATTTACCATATTCACATGATAATAATGGCAAATGTTGAATTTATTTAGCTGGTCTGTTCACAAAATCCTCAAAGGATGTGGCAAGTGAAAATGGTGCTTTCTATTCCAATGGTGCTCAACTGGGTGTTCAGTTGTTAGGTGTGATCGTTACAACCACGTGGTCTGTACTATGGACTTACTTATTGATTTGGCTCATAAGAATAACAGTGAGTACGATTTTCTCTTCTTCTTTGCTTTAATTGGTGGGTGGAAAATCCTTCGATACTGTTAAATTTTCAAAAGGAGATATGTTGATTGAGACATCGCCTACTATTAGCTGGGTGTCGGCCGACCACTGGCCGACTATTAGTCGATCATGAGCCGATTTTCCATCGACCATCGGCCGACTTATCGACCAATGTAATGATATAACCTCGATTTTGTTTCAGGTCGGACTGAACTCAGGTAACACAAACAAAATGTTTGGCGCGTGTGATACCGCGAAAAGTTTACCGTCATCCGTGGTGAACAGTGAGAGGGAAGTGCTTCGCAAGAAACTCTTCAAGGTGGCTGCTAAAGGAGATTTACAGGAATTGGATAACTTGCTTGTTCAGCAAGTGTCTTTTGGCGTACAAGACTTTGATAAACGAACGCCACTGTGAGTAAAGCAAAAACTGAATTTAATGTTTCGCAAATTAACGGAAATAGTACTTTTCAACCATTCTCCTGCTGGAGGAAAAAAACAAACAAGCAGGAGAGACCCCAGATTGTTTTCTTATATGATTCCCATGATATCAATTGTTACTTTTCTTGTAAAAAATATTTGGAAAATAAATCATTTTCGCGCGGTTTCATGTTTCTTCTGGTGGAATGTATGCAATTTTTAATAAAACTCCGGCGTTTGTCATATTTTGATCTGCTAAATTGTTTTGTAGTCACGTGGCCTGCATGTGTGGTAATCTCAACTGTGTAAAGTTCCTTCTTCGGCAGCCTGGTGTGGATATTCACGCAAGGGACCGCTGGAAAGCGTCACCGCTGTCTGGTAAACTACTTTTGAAAAACAGAAAGTGTATATTATAGCTGACACTTGGGAGGGAAAGAATTAGAACTAATTAACTCTCGGGGAGTCATTTCAAGTTGCCAAACAACATTACAAAGCAACTTTATCAGCATCTCAAATTTAGGTTTTATTGGTTTTACTGTAGAATATAAACAGTCTACATTCTCTCGGTTTTACTTCAATACACTCTGTGATGGGAGTAGCAAGTGACGGGTCATTATTTATCGCCTGCGGGGGAGGGCTGAATGATTCTGGTTCTGTTTGTGTAATTTTCTTATGATACCACTTCCTCCCTCCTCCCTCTTCCCCCCCCCCCCTCCCCCCTTCACTATTGAACTCTGTTGGCGACGACTGATCCTCCTCGGTTCCCTCTGAAAATCATGTGATATGTGATTCCCCAAAATCTTCCGCCCACCCCCACCCCCCACTTCGACGAAAAGCAATGTCTGGTCCCTCCCTTGACTCGCGTTATCTTCTTAGCCAATCTGATGCAAACTTGTAACTGATGGCGCCTAGGTTGTTTCAAATTTCCCGCGCTTCAGCACGGTTACTTGGTAATTACTTGATTGGTTTCTTGTGCTTGTTATGATTTCCTATCATTTGATTGGCCATTGATCGCAGCTAGGGTAACGACCTTTAGGTAGCTAATCTATAACGGGGTGTTTTCAATAACAGCGTGATTTTTTACTCTTCCCTCTGCATTCCTTCTACAGAAGCTGTACAATTCGGTCATGATCAGGTGGTGCAGTGTCTGTTACGTCACGGAGCGGGATGGTGTGAAGATGGAGTCGGGGACTTGCTCTGCAGCGCTATAAGTATGGTTTGTTCTTACATGAATAGTTATTTGGCATCAGGCCTTTTCCGGAGCCGACATAGGAGAAGGTTGAAGGAAGCTGCTGTAAGCAGATTACCTTTGCCAAATCGCATACCATGAAATAATTCTTGCAGACCCTCAGAGACCACAGTCTATTCTGACATAAAAAGACTAGGGGACTTAAATGCAAGACAAAGAGTTGTATGTAACCATTAAATTGCTCAAAGTACGTCAATTTTTCCTCTTTAATTTTAAGTGAAAAACGATGTGGAGGAGCTTCAACGCCTTGTGTCTCTTGGCGTGGATGTGAATGCGCCAAATGAAGAGGGTAGCACTGCTCTTCATGTTGCAGCTGCCGTTGGGAGTCGAGGAGTAGTACAGTACCTCACTGATAACAAAGCTGATATCAACGCGGTTGACTCGCTTGGAAATACGCCTTTGAATGTGAGCGATCTGTCTCAGTGATTACCCTTATTTATTGCCCCCTAACAAAAATGACAGGAACGATCGCGGATTGTTCCTCTCTGACATTATCCATAAGTGTGGAGTAGAAGAAGGATAAGCTGGCTTGAATGCGCACGCGCTCAGGCGCTACTTCTTTTGCCGTCTTTGGGGGGGATACGCTCAGGCGAATTGAAGTAGAGGACTGGGTGGAATGGGGGTTAGGTTTTAGTGAGAGGGGTTTACCCCTCCCACTCCAAATAACTGTTTTGTTACACGTAAAGTATTGAGATTTTTCAGGGTTGTCTTTTGAAACCTTTGCCAATTGTCCACATTTTTAAACGTCATTATTCCTCTCTGGGATATTCTTTCCCCTCTTGTATTTTAATGTTATCTCTGAAGGCAATCCTTATTTTTGCAAACATCTCTCAATATTGCAACGTAGCGCAGTAGATCTCTGGTTATACCTTTCACACCAAGGAGTCTGTGGGATCCCAAGCAGATTCTTCAGTGCTGTCAGACGAGCTAACATATTTTTACATGATAGTAAGAATGAAGTTTTTGTGGAAACGAAGACATTTTTTTTTTCGCTCTCATATTCCAGTACTCCAATATGCACGAGCACCGCGCAGTTAGCCAGTTACTAGAGGGTTTGGGCGCCAGGCGATTGTCACATCATTACAGTATGCACGAAGTCTGTGAAGTGGCGAGCATAGGCAACCTGCAGATGCTGAGGCACATGGTTCATAATGGTGCTACGGTGTGTTACAGGGACTTCAACAAACGGACGCCGCTGTAAGTTTTTCAGTGATACGGATGTTAATTTGATCTCATGCTGTTAAGGCTGTTGTGGCTTCTACATCCATGACATTCAATCTCTGTATGATAGACAGCACAAAAAGTCCTGATCACTAAACTTCCATGAAAAGACACAAGAGTGTTAAAGGAAAATTATATTAGGCCAAATGAAGTGATTTGGGGAAGGCACAAAATAATACTCGCGGAGAATCCATCAGGACCGGGAGTACGCTTTTACATGGAGGGGAGGGGTCCTAAAGTTGTTTTAATGGCCATAAGAGGAAATCGTAAGGCCCTTACTTCCCTTTCCCTACCTCCCCCCTTACCGTAGTACAGCGTAAACTCCAATACAGCAAAGATTTTAGGACAAATCCCTCGTTATAACAAAATGTGTTTGTAATTCAGCCCCAACCAAAGTTTAATGTAACTGTCGATGTGAAGCCTTCAACGTAAGATCAAGCGACCATCATCGGCAAGCATGATCGCTGTCACTTGCGCATGTGCAATTCAGCTTGATTGGGTGATTGTCATTTAAGAGCTGGAATTAACTTGTTGGGAAAAAAATCATCAAAAAGCAATTTACTTTTGGGGAAGAAAGACTTGAGATTCTGTGGCTAAAAACCTGTGACTGAAAATCTTTGACTGTAAATCTGTTCTTATTTAGTGTAACTATGTATATGACAAGTTTGGAGATTGACTCTAAACAGCTGTACACCCATATCGAAGGTATAAACATCCAATTATGTTCGGTAGGTTGTGTTATGCGATAGTTACATATTCATGCATCCTTAAAGTTGATTTTCTCTTTTTCTAAAGTCATGTCAGTGCAGCTGAGGGTCATTTGGATGTGGTTAAATTTCTTCTTTTACAACCAGGAATAAACATCAATGCCAGAGACACAAACGATTTTTCTCCTCTTCTTGGTAACGTATTTAGTTTGTTCTAGCTTCTTTGGGTGATTCTTATTAATTAGTTGCATTTTTAAGAAGTTGGCGATCTAACTTGTGTGTGATCCGAGGGCGAAGTTCAGCCGGGGTGGCTTTAAGATGTACTGTTAACCTAACTTCACTTGTGGCCGATCACACAGCGCAGGTCACGTGGTCATGATGGTCCAATCCAAATCACAAAGCACAATGAGCCAATCAAAACTCGCAGCAAGCGTGCAGTTCGCGAAAAGAGCGAAAAGTCGAGTGAGTCAGCATTGAAATTTAAATCAAATCGGATTATAGGGCATGTTCCGTTTACTGCACGAATCCTATCGTTATCTTTTACCAATGCGATTTTAGATCTAATGATTGCCAAAACGTTTTGTAATTTCCTTCCCTTTTATCGTCAAAATATGACTTGATTTTCTCTCCTCGTTTCCTCAACTTCCTCTCCGTCTAAATCTGACGGTTTCCTTGGTTTGTCCCAAATGATAGTCGATTTCAGGTTTTGACATTTAAAATTCCTTGGAAGTTTTCATTAATGAATCAAGGGAAGGTTTTCTCTTTTTCGACCAACTTTTCTAGGCGATCTGAAAAAACTTGGCCAAGGGAATTGAATTGAACAATTTAGCACAACATCTGCGCTTGTCACAACCAATTATGTGGTAAATTATTTGACAAGGTGTTTGACGTGAATTTTTATCATCAATGTATGAAATTTCCACTTTGATTCTGATCTGTCGCGCACCATACTGCCAATGGAGGGTGGAATATAAATAAGGAAAGCAAAAGTGAAAACTTGAGCGTGGATCTGCGGGACGCCATTAAAAAAAACGGTTCAACGAAATTATGAAAAATAGGCAACCACGATGAAGGCCTTTTTCCGCCCATGCTAAAACTCTTAAGAACTTTCTCACACTATTTATAAATAGCTGTAAACAAAACACTTTACTCATCACCTTTTCACCAACCAATTATGTGGTAACTTATATGACAAGGTGTTTGACATGAATTTTTGTCATCAATGTATAAAATTTCCACTTTGATTCTGATCTGTTGCGCACCATACTGCCAATGGAACGTGGAATACAGCTAGGGAAAGAAAAAGTGAAAACTTGAGCGTGTATCTGCGGAACGCCATTAAAAAAAACTATTCAACGAAATTATGAAAAATAGGCAACCACAATTAAGGCCTTTTTCCGTCCATGCTAAAACTCTTCGAAAATTTCTCACATCATTTATAAATCACTGTAAACAAAACACTTTACTCATCACCTGTTCACCCCAAATCTGTTTCGGTTGTCTTCCAGACTGAATTCTCGTAGAAAAAGCCCCGAAAAGATTAATATTACTGTGATGATAAGAAAAAGGTTTAAAAAAATTAGCTTTGCTTTAGAGAAAAATAATTTAAGAAAGTACCGTGGGGTTATGCTTGCTTTCCGTTGCATGATGTGTGCCGTAGATGTTACCATGGGATTCTCATCATCATGACAATGTGCGAATTAAATTTACTGTTTCTAGTATGCATTTTATGCGAACGGAAAAAGAAAATGAAGGTATCAAACGTGAGTGTAGTTGCTATTTGAGGGATTGGTAGGACGTTGCGCACGAGTGGCATTGGAAGCTTTATATGTGGAACCAAAAGTTACGTTAAAGGTCACTGAGGGACAGGGTGATAAATAGCGTACCTCAATCTATCGTAGTACAATAGTTCAATTCAAAGCTACGAAATTCACTAAAACGACGTTGAAATTAATTCTGCAATAGAACGGAAATAGAGTTATGTATTCAAAATTCAGGCGTTAATTGGTAGGATGTCTCAGTCGCTTTGGTTCCATCGCATCTTCAACTCGCGGAAAAAGTCTCTTGAATCAATAGTTTCGGTCCTCTGAAAATACTCCCTTTTAGATTTCCAAGTGTTACATTTGATATTACTGTAGGTAGGATATTTCAGTTGTGCTGATCTCTTAAACGAGTGTCTAGGAAAGAGACTGTACCCATATCCTCTTTCTTGAAAACACTTTTTAAAGGGAACTTTGTTTGTCAGTCGTTCTTTCTCGCGATACATCATTGACCTTTGTCAGTGTTCGGATCGAGGAAATTAATCCCACGCGTAGAAAGTGATAAAAAATAAAGAGTAGTTTAAGAAGGTAGGATAGAAGAGGAACTCGCTTAAATGAACTTGGCTTCGACGGCTCCAGACACGGACTGGTTGAAGACCTACCCTGTGCTCGGTTATGATGTTGAAAGCAAAGCAGAGAACGACAATTACATTTGAACAAACTACCTTTCTGTGAGTTGGTTATTCTTTATTTCAACCTTTTTTTACCACTTTGCACCATGATGATCAATGAAAATACATCCCTTACCGCCAATTCCGCACGCCTGGTGCCCACGGAGTATTTCTGCCCAGTCGAACCAATATTTACTTGGATTTTAACTGACGCGGCTACATTTTCAGGCTCGATCGTAATCTCCGCTATTGCTTGCCCATTCACCATTCTCTTAAACATTCTTGTGGTCTATGCAGTGAAGACTAGAAAAACATTGCAGAATAATTCGAATATTTTGTTGTCCAGTTTAGCGGTGGCAGACCTTTTGGTTGGGTTTATCTCATTTCCCTTATCGATCGCTCTAGATGCGTTCCTTCTCCAGAGGAAGATCAGCTTGTTTCTTTGCCGTATAGCGCTTGCAAATCAAATGGTGCTGTACATTTCTGCTTGTTGTTCTTTGTACCATTTGACTGTGATTGCATGGGAAAGGTATGTGGCGATAAGAAAATGGAAGGATTATAAAGTGATCGTCACCACCAAGCGCGTCACCTGGTGTTTGGCAATTTCTTGGGTGCTCTGCCTTCTGAAAACCGTACTGGTGCGTGTATTAATCGCGTCTGGTGTGAACTACAAGTACGTGCAATTCGTGGACATGATCGTTTCCATTCCCATCATGTTCGCCATAGTTCTGATCGGCTATTTCTACTTAATGGTTTACGTTGGTATGCGCCAACGAAAACTAACTGACATCCGTGGAGATGCGGTACGGGCTAAACTAAAGATGGAAAAGCGCATAGCCATAACTGCAGCAACATTAACTCTTGTTTTGCTTTTCTCTTACCTTCCATCCACCGTCGTCATTATTGGAGGCAGGAAAGTGCCCTTCTTACGAACAAGCACGGTTTTCCGTTGGACGGAATTGCTGACTCAGCTGAATTCTCTTTTGAATCCACTCCTGTATTGCTTCGTACTCAACCGCCAATTCAGAGGCGAGGTGGTGAAGATGGTGAAGAGATATAGGGAAGACCAGAGGGAGCCACCCACTCCCAAGCAGAGTCGTCACAGCAGGCGACGCATGGGTCATGAAAATATGGATGATCTTCAAGAGGAGGAAGAAGCAAAACGAGAAGAGGACCCCCAGGTTAAGTCAGGATCCTGTGGCTCGACTATGGCTGATGAAACGAGGTGCCAGGGACCTCGTGAAGCACTGCAAGTTACATCTTCGTCAGGTTCGTCCACTGGCGCAGAAAATATCATCACCTATGTCGATATTCACCCACTTAAGTCTTTCAGTCGAAGACTGTTGGAGGGAAGTACAGACAAATATGCGCAATCAAAGTGTTCCGTAAATGACGACCGACACTCTCTCTACGATGAAAATGACGATCGTGGAAAGTCGATGAAGATAACTCAAGAACATAGGCAGTCACCAAATCCCACACAAGAATGTCTTGACCAGCAAAGTATCGACAGTGAAAATCGAAACGATCCAATCATGGAGGAACTAGAAGATGGAATAGGAGAGATCCTGGAGAAAAGATCTTGTGCTTTGGTCATAGTCAGCGATGATGGTTGTCTGGGACCTCGTGGATCTTTGTCGTCCTCTTCGCTTTCCAGTGAAGGAAACTTCGTCATCTGTGCCAATACTCTACAGCCACAAGAAGAGGCCAAAGAGGAAATCAACCATTTTAAATGTTCCCTTCCTGGTAGCTGCAACACTTTCCAGGATGAAGATGTTCTTTTGGAAATTGTTGAAGGGAAGCATGGTTCTCACGAAGGAGTGACGAAATTACCCGAGGGATCTGAACAGTCGGGAAACTACAATACAGAGCACGAAGGAGTGACGAAATTACCTGAGGGATCTGAACAGTCGGGAAACTACAATACAGAGCAAGATGATACTGATGAAACTTGCTTTTAGAATCGGCAGTGCGAATTTCGCTAAAGCAAGGAATAGACATGAGGTGAACAGTAGTATACCCTCTGATTAAAAAATGTTTTGTTGAGGTCAGTCAATGTTTGGGTAACACCGTGGGACCAAGTGTTTTTATTCAGTGATTCTTTTTCGATTATGGGTCCTTAACAAGAATTCCGCTTCGTTCCGTAATCCCATTTTTATTTTAGATAAATCATTGTTGCTTAGATCTTAGCACTTGCTCAAGTTGGGGTGAAGAATTTGATTCAGACTCTTGAAAAAGAGAAAGTATCATCGTTACGTGGGTACTCGAATGGCCTTAACAAAAGCAACGAGAACACGTACTCATTGGTACTGCATGTAAGAAATCTTACCAAAGAGGCTTATTATCCAACTGATTATTTCACGAAAAGTTTATTATCTTGATAATATCTATGTCGGCACGCACAAACCTCGTTTTAAAATCTGTACAAAAATACTTTGCAAAGCATTTAAATTTCGTGACGAGGTAGGAATTTTTTTTGAAGTCTTATAGATCCCGCGGAGGAGTGCTAATCAACATTTTGCGAGCAATTTTTCTAAAGTTTTGAGCAGCTGTGTAACACAAATGAATGAAAGCGGAACCGATTAAAGGGGAACGTACTTACTGAATTTCAAAAGCACGGTTTTCTCTGCGCTTAAAATTATGTGAAAATTATTTTTACTTAAGCGCTCTGCGAGTTGCTTCAGCAAGTCACAAATTGCCGTCTGGGCTACCAACGACATGCATTGAATGCAAAAGGCGTAGGCAAATTTTAAGAACTAACCAAAAAACATATGAAAATAGTTTGCTAGAGGAATAACATTTTTCTCATAGTTTTCAAATGCTTTTCCCTCAGGTAATTTCGTCACTCTTCCGTCTCTCTTGGGGGGGGGGAGGGTAAGGCTACACATAGGCAACTCAAAACGAGAATGTAAGAAAAGCAAACAAAGCAAGGGAGATTGACACGCATGCGGACTAAAGGAAAAGCATTTGAATGAAAATGTACATAAATTTATCCATATTAATGTCTTATGCCATGAACATTATAAAGAATATTATGTTAGCTCGAAGTTATAAGTGTTCATTTCCATTGGTGAGAGAAACATTTTACAAACGAGCGCAACAAGAATTGAGAAATATTTTGCTGGGTATTACAAAGGGAAAATGAGCTTCCTATCTTCGCGCTTTCGTGTAATGATATATTCTTTTTTTACGTGATATAGACACTAGTCTAAGTGGCTTGTGCAGTGGAAAAGTATTTATTATTCTTATGAGTGGCTTGAAAATACGCGGCTTTGTTAGTACTGGTGTCCAAATGAGCTGGGATTGGCCAACCCTTTCAACAACCAAGATCGTGGCCGCGCGAACAACTTCCCCCATAAGGGACCTGGTACTTGATTGACAAATCCCAGCGTTCATTCAGACGCCAGTATTAGCAAAGTCGCTTATTATTAGGATCGTAATGTTGTTGTAATGTTGTTGAAGCTTCACCTTGGTGTTTGTGAATTATTTAAAGTATCATTAAAATTTTGAATAATCGTGTAATGTATATTACTACAGAAAGTCGGTCAGTTAAGAGAAATGAAACCCAAAAGGAGAGGACGGCTCGATAATGATTGGATTGGCCATCCTAGGTTCGAAGCCTCCTCTCTGCGCCTGGACCTCCCTTGCTTTGACCCTCAGAAAACGAAGCCAAGTATTTCGAGGCTATTTTCTCATTCTTTACCATCAAATACTTTGCCAATATGCTATAACTTTGCCAAAATGTTATGGATGGAGAGAGCTCTGATGAGAGTAAACTGTCCTACATGTCCTGATAACTCGACCACAACAGTTCCATTGAACCTGGACCATTTGATTGCGAAAGTATCGCAGAATTCTCGCGAGCAAACAATCAGGCCGCAGTGTTTCCCCAAAAAATTCACCCGCCAGTGCGCGTTGTGCCCTCGGTATAATGTACGTACCACTTATTTTCCACGCTTAACAACTTTTTTGCGTTTATGCTTCGAGTTTTGATTCTTTTAACGTGTTGACGGTCCGTGGTGTGATTGGCCAGATGTGCCCGCTTCGATAATAGTCACAAGAAAACTGTGTCTCCATGTTTGCATTGCTTGTTTGAACTGATTAGCGTTATATTTATGCATCCGTGCAGACGCCATCGTGAATGGCCATCATGGGGTGGTGCAATACTTGAAGGCATGTGGAGGTACCATAAGTGAATGCAAGTTGGCCTCTCTGATGACAAGCGCTGCCAGCACCGGTGATACAAGGACCATGAAACGTTTAATAAGATGGGCCGGTCACGTGAACGTGTCTGACTTTAACGGACAGACCGCGCTCCACATGGCAGCGATGTGCGGCAGGCTCAATGTCGTTAATTTGTTGCTGAAGGAAGGTGCAGGTCAGTTTTAAACGATTTTTCAGCAAGAATAGGGGGTGCACACGAACGTTGTAACTGTAAACTAGAATTTAGAGGAAAGGAATGAAACGAACTCAAATCTACTCATCGTGGCACTTAAAGGCGGTGGATATTCTTACTTAACAATAAAATAAGCGTATTTTTGCTTGGAATGTTTACGTTGTGCCATTTGAAGGGTTTTTGACGGATGCTCATCTTTGTGCACAGTAAAATAAAAAGCCCTCTAAATTCAAACGGTCAAATGTCAAAAATGGCAAACTGTCACACCGTCTGTTTGGGTTCCCTGTGGTAAGAGAGAATCGAGGCGGAACAAAGATTGTTGAGAGTTGTGAAGATTGAAACTTCTTGCGCATGACGGACTTTCACGGCGCACAACCGTGAGGAGGCGTGAACGGATCATGGTCGTAGTGACCAGCAACCGGAATAAAGTATCAGATCAAACAGTTGTCGAGTTGAGCTACATTATGAATAGTTGGAAATCAGTTTCACCGAGTACTGAACACAAACTTCTGTCTTCGATCGATTTAGTTGTTACTAATTAAGGGAAAAAAGGACAAAAAGACAAAGAGGTGGCGAAAATTCTGGCTGAAATGAATTTGACGAATTGAGACTTGTTTTTCTGTAAGATGCACAAATCCTACCGTAACCATACTATTTTATACCTGTTTTACTTTCAGATGCAACACTCGTCAATCGTTATGGGCAGATTCCGTTGCAGGTAAGGCACCTTGGCCATGGTGGTATGGTTCCTTAAATAAATTTCAATTAAACTCCTCGCCACAAATATCATTTCATTTTCGTTTTTTCATCTGTTTCACACAGATAGCAACAGCTAATGGCCATAAAGCGGTTGAAAAGGAACTTCGGAAACAACTTAAGGTACGAAAACCTCAAGATACTGAGAGTGGTACTGTCCTCATAGGGCTGGGCGTGGTTGTTAAAGATAAATTGTGTTCGGTTTGAACATCACTGGAAAGATAGTGAACACTGTAAAATCAGGGTAGACCGATTTTCGGTTGAGTATCGAATAGAGCAACGATTACTGATTGTGCTTTACATCGCTCTGTGATTGGTCCATAAAACTCGCACTTCTCTCTCAACCAATCAGATGAAAAACTAAAACTAGTCACGACGTGGTCACCCGCGTTTTCCCGCGCTCTAGGCAATTTAGTTATTTTTCGTTTGTGTTCTCATTAGCTCCTAAAGGTGTTTTCCTTTCTTCTCATTGGCTGTTGAGATTTTTACGACACTTTTAAGTCGAAAAGCGCTCAATCAGGTGGGATTATAATGGTTTTGCTGTACCTCTGTAGGTGACTGGTCCACAAGACTCGTGTCACTCTCCCAACCAATCAGATGCAAAACTAAACCAATCCAGAGTTGGTCATGTTAGGGAGGTATGTCAGTCCTGACTATCAAATGATGGAAAGAGGTCGCGCTTCCAAAAGCATTTTATTGCAAGACTTTAGAATAAATCAAACTAAAAATAAGCAACGCAGAGTTAATCATAGTGTTTTATTTAGTGGCTATGCATTATCATTATCATTGTGCCTGACAGCTCTCCGACGATTTTTTTAAAATTGGTTTTCATTCCTTTCTTCGCAGCTCACTGAAGAAATTATTCTCACCGACCAGGTTACCACAATAACATGCTACAGCCCTGAAGCAAGAAGGCGAGGAAGGAAATCTAAACCTGATCGGCCACAATACAGTTACTCAAAGCGCCCGTCTCGGTCCTCAACAGAAAACTCCCTGGAACTCCAGCAGTATTGCGAGCATAGTGTTAATAGTATTCACACGTCTCGGGAACTAATCAACCCGGCAAACGTACGGGCACCGTTAGAAGGAAATGACATCTCGCAGTTACCAATTCTAAATGTAAATACACACGCAATTTCTGGTCTTACTGCACAAGCGCGAGAGATGACAGGGGGACAGCCAGATTATGTTTGATGCTGGAGAGAAATCGATCGGTAAAGCGTTTTCCAAACGGAAAAATCAAGAACCTGTGACTCCTTGAAAGTACCCCACAGGTAGTTAGGCAGCAAAGAGGAATGTACAAGTCAAAGGCCACGAAAAAACTGCTTCTTCATGCAAGAAGAGCTTTTTCTAGAATTGCATTCAAGCAAACAAGATCCTTGCTAGGCAATCCTCTGTTGAAACTCCCAAAGTTGATGCGAAGGGTTCCCGAAACGTCATATCGAATCAAAAATTAGCTTGAGCGTCGAAAAGGTCACCTTCCCATACAACCGATGCTTTCTGACCATCAAAACCTGCTTGCGCGAAATTGTTCACTTTCTGACATGTCGAGATGTCAAGATCCTTGATGACCACAAAGTACAGATAAGTTTGTCTTCTTCCCCTTAGTGGCTGTAGAATCGATTTGTTTAAATGGTACATTTTTCTTCATTTAGTCATCAAACAGACCTCCTGGTTCTTCAGCATCTGAGTCATCAACTTTTTCATCTTTGGTTTTTTTCCTTTGGAATTTACTTTGCCTTTCTAAAATCTTGAAGACAGAAACAAAATATAAACATTTAAATAACATACAATTTACAGAATTGAACTGACAAAAATTCAAGAATGATTTTTAAAACAGAATATTGTTGTACATAATGTTTTAAATTTATTTAAAGGGCAAAATCAGCTACAAATTTTTGAAAAAAATTTAGTTTTAGCATCATTGCCCTATTTTTTAAATTTATAAACTGAGGGAAAATCAGTTTTGTATAGTAAGAGTAATATTTAACTTTCTTTTATAATTTAAAATCTTGATTAATCTTTAACTCCCAAGATCTGATAGTTAATTCTCCCCTCTAGGTGCTTTCTTGTAAATTGGTTACAAGAATTTGGTGTTAGATCAAGGTCACAACTTCTACTTGATAAATTTGAATATTCTCATGACCTTTTTGCCAAATTGTGTATGGATATTATACTGAGAAGTTTCATGCTGATCACTTCTGGGAGTTAAAGGGTTAAGGAGATGTAGAAAACAGTTTGAAAGAAATGAATAATCACTAGAACTTGTCACTGAGGCATCGCATTGTTTCCTTAAAAAATTTTCATCAAATTTGGTAGATAAAATATTTGGTCAATTGGTAAAGATGAATTAAGGGTGTAAATTTCTAAAGAAATTGTAGTTTTGCATTGGCAAAGATTTTACAAGATAATTTGGTTGTATTAACTGAGTTGATAATGAAAATTGGCCACTGTAAAGAGTTTTCATAGCTGACATTTTGACCATCAGCCCTTTGTTACAAGGTTAGCCCTTCCCCATTTATGCTGTTGAAGGGCTAACACTCAAACTGCTAGCTTTAGCAACTCGCTATGGTAACCACTTTCCATTATCAACTCAGTTGGTAAAACCAAATCATCAGATTAGAGATGGTTTAGTAAGTGGTATTACTTCAAGTAACTGGCTCTGTCTATACGTAATAAACATTCAAAAGAATTTGCAATTGTCAATAGCCAAAAGACAACAAAATGCTTTATCCTATTCTTGATGTTTATTTTCTTTCAAACTGTCTTATTTAATACTCAGAAAGGATTCAATGGTGCAGAGAAGTATATATCTTAAATCTCCTAAGGATTATTAAAAGCAGGTAAAGTAATTCCTCCAATAAACTTCCTGAAAGCTCATTAGAGCATGAACAGTTGATTTGGAAAGGATTAGGAATTTGAAAGCAAATTTGCTATATTCAGAGAGGAAGATCACCCAGTGTACCTACATCTATTGCATTTTGCCAACTGCTAAATTCGCCCAAACTAGTGACATGTCAGCTAGTGACTAACCATGTATGTCTTTGGCTGTTATTTTTAAAAAGATTTCCTTTGCCTGAGGTACATTTGTCTACACAAGTTTTAGAAGATAAAGCTTTCAATACAGTAATGGAAAGTAATCATTTGTGACAATACTTTGTCATAAGTGTCCTTCTTGATCTTCCATGTGGCATTCTTGAAGTACTCTAAGTTCTCCTCTGTAAAATCAACTTCTTGTGTCTTTCTTTTCTGGCCTGTAAATAATTATAGTATTTACAAATCAAATCAGAACCCTTAAAGAACTTGATTGAAACAAAAGTGTCTATAGAAGAATTGGGATGAAACTTTGAATGTACCAGACAACATTGGGAATAAACGACTGGAAATATATGGAAATCATATATGTGAACTGTGGTTTAAAAATGGATTTGAAAGGGATCTTTGCGGTAATGGACACAACTTACGCAGTAGTGAAAACATTGTCTGAAAAAATTCAGGCCTGAATGGCATTTGAACCCATGACCTCTGCAATACTGGTGCAGTGCTCTGACAACTTTGCTTTCACTTCTGCTTAAGTGGTGTTCATTACTGTGAAGATTGCTTTCAAATTCTCTGTTGGGGTTGGTGACATATTGTGAGGTTCTCAATAAGATTTGACCTAAGCCTCTGTCCAAACTGAGGTGGTGTCAAGTTCCTCCCACTCCACTCTCTCAGAGCCATCTTCAGCTGTTGCAACATTCAGGTGTCTCCGACCCTGTGCAACTGATATTTCTACAAGTTTATCACAGGGCAAGTGGTAATATGTGGACTCCAACTTAAAATATAAAAGTATGGTGCTCAGCAAAATCAAATCGATTTATAGTTACCATCGCATAAAAGCTGAATTAAGGAAGTTTCCAAGGGTTGTAGTAGTGCTACTGTTGGGTAACATCACATGGCCTCTAAGAAAAGACCATGGATGTTTGGTCATGAAAATTTGAGAAAAGCATGAAAAATAGTATCAAAACTTGTAAAACAATGTAGTCTAATTTATTTTTAGAGCTAAAAGGGCTAAGAAAATAATAAGGAAACTGTATAGTGCCTAATGAAACTTCTCTCTCTTGCAAAAGCTTGTGATTTGTCACACAACTTTGTAATACATTCTGCCCTTACATAAACACTGTGTTCCTAAAGGATCTTCGTGAAAGGAAACAACGAGTGAACAATTTTAATACTCCATTTTAAAAACGAGATACAAAGCTGTATTACTTCAGTACCTGATGATAACTGCAAGCCTCTTACTTCACGTGCGCGTGATTGTTTCTGTTTATTTCCTCTCGAAGTTCTTTTCTGCTTCTTAGCGAGTTGTTTCTGCTTCTGTTTTAACTTCTGTTTTTGAGATCTTGATACTCCTTCCCCGATCACAAGATCAAGGCCTTTACGAACCAATTTGGAAGACATTTTCGAGGCAATTTTAACTCTATATTTATCGGTAGATTTCCTCAGCCATGCTAGGAAGAAATTAGGACATTTATTTCACTCGTCTGCGATGTCATTCCCAGACTCACCCAGACTTATGAACTTTGACGTCTGATTGGCTGAATACTTTCAAAATCCCGATATTCTTTTCGAGCCCGATAATTCTTCAAAATGGCGGCTGTCGGTTGCTTTACGTTGGAGTAAATTTTTGGAGAAGTGAAGAAATAGCATTTAAAAAATGAATTTCCTTAGAACTCCAGAGGACAGCACTGCTGTTGTGAGAATCATGGGTGAATTCGATCAATTTCTAACGAGTGACCCAAGGAGCCGGCTGACTTATGAAGATCCATCAAGCGATGGACATGAGCAAAGTCAGAGACCATCTTCCAAAAGCTTCGCGAAAACTTTGAATAAATCGAGGAGCCAGGGAAGCCTTTTTTCTAACGAGCGTGAAAAAGATGTGGAGCTCATCAAAAGCCGAAGCAAAATCGCGCACCTAGAGAGTCAAATGAATGTCCTGGAATCAGAAAGAAAACGTGCAAGAATCGAGTTTGAAAAGGATAGTGGAAATGACAGGCTTGAACGGAGGAGAATGGAAGAGAAATACGAAGACCTACAAAAAAACATTCAGTATATCGCAGAGCAAGAAAAAAACGCCAAAGATCAGTTGAAAGACCTGAAAAAAGAGTACGAGACTTACCGCAACAAATCCGAGCAAACGATTCAAAACTTGCAGAGGGAAAAACTAAAACTGTGTGCAGAAAAAGACGAGGTACATACCTTTATCGGATCTTCTTAGCTTTATTTCTACTTTTTTGCGTTTAAGTTGTTTGTTTCACTTCAAAAGAACGCATTTATTACTGTCGGCTGAGTATTGAGACTTATCAAGTGTAATACAACGTGTTAATTATTTTTCAGTTGCGGGAGGATTCTAGTAAAAAAGAAATGGATTTGAAGAATTCACTTTTCAGGTAATTGTTCAGTGAGTGAATTGGAAAGATTCCCACATGAGACCACACCACTCTAAAACAAAGCTTTAGTCCCCAAGGTAATTTATTGTTTTTGCCATCATAAGTTTTAAGAGTTGATTGTCAACAGGCCAGTTTTTCTCTTCTTCTGTAACAAAGCAAAAAGCTTCACCTTCTCAACTCTAATTTCAAGCAAAAACTTTTGTCGTATTATATATGCAGTTTAATTTTGGGGATTACCTCTTGTAGAATATTTCCCAGTTTAAGCTGTATCATTTGACACATTCAGATCAATAAGTTGCATCAGGATGAATATTTAATGGATTTAATCTCAAGATGTACCCCCTCGCCCCTCACCTCTATGAAAGTAAAGAAATGAAATATTTGGTCATAGAGACAGTTTCTTATTTGGTTTGTTTCAGACAGGGAACTGAGCTAGCTGTTATGCAAAATAAACTGGGAGATACTGAGAGTCAGCTTGAAAATGTCAAAAGGTAATTAAAAGTGATCTCTGCTTACGCTTCTTATTACACAGAGTTTCTTCAGTTGGTGATCATTTCTTTTATTCTTGTGTCCTTAATATGTGATTAAGGGGTGATATTTTAAGGAGAAATTAGATGCCAGTTACTCTCAGGGGTCAAAGGGTTATGAAAATGTAAGAATGTATGTGCGTAACATGAGAGTAGAATATGTTTGATTTTGTGGACAATTCTGAACAAATAAATTTGCGTATCCATGATGTATTTTCATTTACCTTATATTTATAGTACTGTGTATGTATAGATTCTTATAAATTAATGTTAATTTTACAGAAGACTTAGTGAAGTGATGACTCAGCTGCCAGAGCTTGAGCAGCTAAGAGAACATTCAAGAACAGCTGAGCATAGGGTCAAGGTAAACTGAAGACATATTGTAGACTTCATGTTATTACAGCAGTGTTAAATTGTTTTGAAGTAGGTGTCAGACTCTGCAAAACTAGGTGACTGTGACAAGTTCATTAACCCTTTAACTCCCAAGATCTCATTAGTAATTCTCCCTACTATCTCCCATACAGTTCTTGTGATGTTAGTTTGGAGAATTTGGTATTGGAACATCCTATAATCCCCTAACTGAAATTTTTCTTTATTCTCCTTACTTGTCTGCTTGATATTGTATGGTTATTGTAAGGAGAAATTCTGTCTTGGTCTCTCATGGGAGTTAAAGGGTTAAGGGCCAAAAGGTAATTATTTTGACCAGAGTAACCAGCCACGTGTTATCAAGTAGCTGGTCAAACTCTGGCGGTCACCAGCTTGTTTTGAAATTTGTGTATTATGATGACATATTAATGTAAATATAAGAAGAGGCCCTCCTAATAAAAAAGTGTCACTTTACAGGGTTGGTTTGAGGTTATAACTTTCTAGGCTATTTTATATAAAAAAGGGCTATAAATTTTTTGAAGCATCTCAAAAGGTTGGAATTTAAAATACTTGAATCTGATTGGCTAATCATGTACTCCTAACAGGTGTAGCCTTTTACAATCTGGACCATGGACTGGAGTATTTTTCTGTGCCATTCATGGCAAAGCAAAAAAACAAACCAGCAGGATAAAATTAATAAGTTATTTAGCAGTGTAGGTCATTTTGCTTGTGAAAAATACTGTGGCATTGGTCTTGAGTATGGCCCTTGGCCTTTTGATGGTGAGCCATACTCAAGACCTTGGACACAGTTTTTTCCCATATGGACCTCCTGTGATATGTTTAATTGTCAAACACTTACTTTGTAAGGAATTGGAGCAGAAGTTATCCCGCCAAGATGAAGCTACAGGAGTTGCAATGGTGATGCAGACACAGCTTACAAAGTACAGAAAATTGGAAAAAGAAAATGCCAAGTTAAAAGATGAAAACCATTATTACAGGTAGATCCTTTTAACCATGCGTTTCTTGGACATGATCACAGTGACTGTGCTTCAATATTAACTTAAAGAAGCTCAAGATTAGTGTCAAACTTAAATAAAAAGTTACATGCTTCCATTTAGGCACATTAGTCCTCATGAAATGCCCTTTGCCATTTATCAATATATATTTAAATTCTTGGAAATGTACTAATGCACATGCATGCAAATTATGGAACAGGACACTAGAAGAAAATGATAAACTGTCACTTTGTACATTTTGAGTGTTAGTTAGGACCTTAGAATTGCAAAAAACAAAGCAAAGAATTACAGAAGTTTGCATTTCCTTCAAGCTGGTTTGAATGGGGGCCTTCAATACTTTGTTTCACAAGTTCTGCTATTTCTTCAAAAAGAAATGAGCACCCTGTTCCAAATAAGTGCCTACCTTGGAGGTACCATAAATAAATAAGTGTCCCAGGCACTAAATTAATTCATTACTGTACTCTCTTAGTATTTCATTATGATGCACCATTTTTAATGATTGGCCCTTTCAACCACATTACACAACAAAGTGCATGTCCTTTTAAATACTTTTAACCTGTCTACATGTGTGTTTTGCCTATTTGCTCTGACAAAGGGAAAACACTTAAAAAAAATAGGCCCAACAAACTCTTGATGGTGGCCAAATTTACATTCTCAACTCAGTGGATAAAACCAAACAATATGTTTTTTATGTTTACTTGCATTTGACAGAGAAACAAATGAAAGTAATCTTTTGTTAAAAGAGAAAGCAGACAATTTACAAGGGAAACTGCAGAGAGCAGAGCAAAGAGTTACAGAGTTAATGAGAGTGGAGATTGAAAATGAGGTCTGTAAGTGTGTGTTTTCATAAGTAAAAACATTTGGCTTCTGATAATCCTTATTTAAATTTCTAGTAACCTTCTGTAGTGTTTCTCAAACAGAAAAGAACATGGCATTCAACACTGACTCTGATTCTTATTCACTGTCAATTGAGCACTGATGAATCACATGAAGGTTCAAAACAGGCAAACAATCCAAAAAAGAAACTACAATTTGATTACTATTTCTGTTTGTGGTTTTGTTTTCTAATGGCCTATACTGGCTTTCTCTCTTTTTAGTCAGAGCACTCTCTCACTCCATGCACAGTTTTCACAGTTTTCCTTGGTTTACAGTAAAATTTAACCCTTTATACCCTAATATCACAATCCATATTCTTCATGCTCTTCTTGATACATTCCTTTGCTACTGGCAAGGAGAAGTTGTTTAACAATCAAACCCTCTTAGGTTAGTGATTATTTCCTTTACTCTCAGGACTCTTATGAATGATTCAGCAGTGTTGCTGTAAGAAGAAATTAGATGCTGCTCAATCTTTATACACGATTATTTATAAATGGACAGGTTGTGGTTCAAGCAAACCATATTCTAGAATTGTACACTGACATTTTATGTCATGAACACTGTTTGAGAGTGTTTTAAGAACTTATACTTTGTTTGTGTTTTTGTTGCTGTGTTTTGTATTTGTTGCTGAGATTAATAAATTATAGTTAACTTCCTAGGAGCTTAAAAAGAAAATTCAGAAGTGGGAGACTGAAGATCTGTCAGGGACAAAAAGGCTAAGGTCTGTGAACCATAAATGATTCTTTCCAAAGCAATTAATGTTTCAATTTGCAGTTGATATTGTAAGCTGAGTCACACAGACTTTCCTGCTATGAACAATCAGTTCACTAAATTCAAATTAATTTACCATGATATTAAAAGAGTGAAAAATGATAAACAACTGAAACTCCAATATATGCTAGACATTATATCGCTGTCACCCACGGAATTTGTTTCAAAATGTGGATAATTGCATGTTAATTTATTGAATTTATATTTGTTATCTTCTCTGCCTTGATTGCCTCTTAAATGAGGCAACAATAGCCAGGTAAAAGTCAAATGATGTTAATTCTGCCATTTTAGAATAGCATGTACATTTTAATACCTATTAAAGATCCATTTCCCAACAGATCTCCAGCCCAACTTGCACAAGATGTTGCAAATCTTCAAAAGAGCCAAGTAGTGTTATTAGAAACACAAAGTGAGCTGAAATCTAGGTAATCTGGAGCCTGCTATTTTGATTCAACACTAATTTCTCTTAACTCGTTGAGAATATATATGGCCCCTAGTCTAAGAAGGAATAATTACTATAATTCAAGTGATGGGATTTTTAAGAGTTAGCCTCTATCTGAGCAGAACTTTTCATCAGCCTGGCTGTACAGTTAATCCCTGTGGTCACCTGTTCATGCATGTTGATTGTTCCTTGTTGTTTTTTTGTTTTTGTTGTTGTTTCTTTTTTTCAGTGCACAGATTCATGAGACAGCTTATCAGAGAGCAGTGCAGGAGTTGGCAGCTGTTAAAAAGGAGTCAGCTGAATTTAAGGTAATTATTCGATTATAAGATGCGGAAGGCACCAGTGAAGGGTGATTTGATCACAAAACAGGCTTGTTTGGGTAAAGCATCGTCACTTTGTTTTTTCCCAAACTCAATTCAAGTTAACTCAAGTTAGGGAAAAAACAAAGTGATGATGCTTTACCCTGACAAGCCTGTTTTGTGATTAAATCACTCCTTTAAAATCCCCTGAAGAGTGATTCAATCATGAAACAGGCTCGTCAGGGTAAAGTGTAGTCTCTTTGTTTTTTCTCTAACTCAATTCATAGAAGTTAAGTTAAGTTCTAAGTGCTCGTCAGACAGAACTGAAGAAAGTTCTGTCTGACAAGCGCTTAGGTGTGAAACTCAGAGTAACAGAGAAGCGATGCATCCTCATTGATTCTTTCACTTATATATACTCAGCTCTGCTACCACAGCATTGAGTGCTTTATGCCAAGGTAGACTCGTATATATATTATATATATTACAAGGCTCTGCATCTGATACTAGTTCATGTTGATGCATTCCACCCAACTGCCTTCATTTACCATCAGCTTTCTGCAAGTTACCATCTCTCATATATGAACTTTAGGTCACTGGAGCTACTTCAGGCACAATTGTGTTGAATTTAATTTTTACTTCCCTTGAAAGACCATGTTATGTAGTCTTTTGAGTGAGTAGTTACAGATTCATTAAGTATGACGTTATTAGGATAAGCTTTGCATTTGAGTCTCCAGTAGTAGCCCCCTTTCTACAACAGCCACCTCCCTGCCATGATTACAAGGTCTAAAATGCATCCCATATACTTCACTGCATTCTTTAACCCTTAAACTCCCATGATCTGATGGTTAATTCTCCTATTTGGTTGCTGCACATTTCCTTGGAAATTAGTTGAGAGAATTTGGTGGTGGATCAAGATAACAATCTCTACCTGATAAGTCTGAATATTCTCATGACCTATTTGCTGGATAATGTATGGATATTGTTGGGAGAAGTTACATGTTAATCAATTCTGGGAGTTTAAGGGTTAAACAGCCAACTTGTCCTCCTCCTGCCTTTTGGGATTTTTAGCTGCTTAATCTTTTTTTCAGAACTTTGAAAACCTGAGAAATTTTAATAAAATTGAAATGCAGTAAAAATGATCCATAATTCATGCTTTGAATTGACTTTGTTGTGTGTTAATTTTTTTCAATTACTAGGAGAATGGTGAGCGACAAAAAGAACTAAATCAAAGACTTCAAAGACGCTTGTTTCTTGTGACAGCTGTAAGTCTTGGATTGGAAAAAAAGATCGTTGACATGCAGTCAAAAATTTAAAATTTGAAAGAAGACATTGTCTCTGAAATTTGTTCACTTCCACCTTTTTTTTGTTATTACCCCTCCCCCCAGGAGCGTGACGGCTGCCGCAGAATCCTTGACACTTATGACAGTAGCTACTCTTCAAATTACGATCCTCAAATACGCTCCAGGTTAAAAGAGGTGGGTTGAGGAGATACGTTTATGTTACAGCTAAAATTCTCATTAATTAGGATATTTTCTAACATATGACCATCCGGCGTGTAAACGTCGTGAAACTTTATGGACATTTTAACAACTCAGTTTATTCTCAAGCAACCACTTAAGGTCTGGTCATTATCTATTGCCCTGGGGGGGTCGGAGAGTTTTTTTTGTAACGATAACATTGACCTGATCCCCCCTAAAGCTCTGTAATATCCTAATGACTCCCCCCTCCCCTCTCAGTGTCAGTCGGTCAATTTTTTTATATCCCCCCTTTAAGCTCTGTTAGAGACGACTGATCCCCCTTCTTTCCTCCTTTAAATCCTAGGACCCCCCCTCAATAATCTCCCCCCCGCCCTTCCCCCCCACACGATAAATAGTGAATGGTCCATTACCGTACGAATTTGTTTGGAATTCAACCGTGTTTTGTTTTCGTCCTTTAACAGGCGGAAGATCGTCTCAAGACATGCCACGAACACATCGAAACATTGGAGGTGAGTTACGTTCAAATTTCTTTTTAAGGTCTGTTGGTTCAGAGTAGTGTTTGGTAAAGCAAGCCCCTGTATATTGCATTTTCATTCCGTTAACTTCTGTGATAAATCTCCACTTGAGATAACTATCAGATATGCCATCAAGAGTGTTTTTATTCTTCAAAAGTTATAGTTTTATTCTAGAAAATCATAAACGCTTTTGAGTCAAGCAATCTGATTCGGCTGTACTAAACTTCAACACAAAATAATTTAATTCGGAAAGAAAACCTTTCTCTATTACCGTCACCTAACTTTGAGTTCATCAATTTCGGCTTGGTTCGAGGTGCATTTTGAAGTTTTCTCTGATTGTGTTTTTATTTTTTGTCGCGGAAGCCCAAGATGGCGCTCTTATTTTGCTACAAGATCATGTCCTCATTCTTGATGTGTGAGTAATGGGGGCCGAAGGGGCCTCTTCAGAGACTGAAACTGGATGAAGTTAATAAGTAAGCATCGGATGTATCTGTTTTGTCGTTTCACAGCTTGAAGTGAACCAGAAATCCGACGAAACAAGCAGAGAAAGACTCAGGGCTAATCAGGTATGCAATTGTTATAATTACATTGAACGATTTTAATATCAATAACCGGCACAACAAGCGTCATTTCCCCTTTCTCCCCTTTTTTTTTGCGTTTTTCAGGCGAGTGGGGGTAAAAGAGAAAGGTGAGTGTCGCACTTTTCCTCTCGTGCGTGACTCACCCTTCCCACTAGTGACTCACCCTTCCCACTAGCCTCGTGTTCACCTCTATTTGCCTGAAATAAGCAAAGAGAAGACTACTGTTCCGTAAGCAAGACAAACTGAGGAGAGGCGTTTGCTGCTCTCGAAGGGTTTTTAACAGATATTTGCCCAGTATCTCTATCGAGCAGATGTTAAAACATATACTAAATGTATGAAAGTATTTTAGGGGTACGATGATTAATAATTTTTTTTGATGCTATTTATACAGCTTGAGGTTGAAAACTGCGAATTGCGAGACAAGGTTTCCAACCAAACCGCAGCTAAACCTGCCGACAGCGCCTTGAGGTAACTGTTTTTTTCCAGTTCATGGATTGTTTTCAGAGAAGTTTCTCAATTTTGTCTAACAGCTGACCCTGTTCAGTTTTTGATTGGCTTAGTAGACATATGCCGTCCATTTGATCCATGTCAAGCTGTCATTTCTCAGCCAATTAGGTTTAACAGGCCACTGTGAATGGACACCCTTCGGCTAGATTGTTTTGAAATCTGATTGGTTTATGAGGGCATGACGTATGCTGCTCAGTTCGATCACCCTCATTTTGATTGGATGATTAAAATCTGAAATTATTGTTTAGTTGGCCGGACTAAGATTTCTGAAAAAACTAGGACTGGCTGGAAAAAACTTCTTTATTTTTAACCTTGTGATTAAGGACGTCGAAAATGCGTGACACCGGCCTTGAGGCACTGATGAACGGAATCGCGACAGTTGAGTTCACTGTAACAGGTCACAGTGTAGATCTTTTTTAGGATCATGCGTTTAATTAAGTTCTCAAATTAAAACCTCATAACCTGTAATTTAAAGAGTTTCTATTTAAACAATGTATTTCTCACAGGATAGAGTTAGAAAAACTACAGGCAGAGAATGCCAAGCTACAAGAACAGCTGGAAATTTACGAAATCAACAAAGACCAAATGCACATGCGGGTATGGTCATTAATGGAGATCATTTATTAGACAGTCAAAACTCATTACAGTTAGCTCTTCGTTTTGAAAATTTTTGCATTGATCCGTGTTGGGATCAATACTAGTATCTGAGAAACTGCGCACCTACCCCTCCCTTAACCCAACATTAGTCAACTGATAATAAGTTAGGGGGTTAGGGGAGAGGTAGGTGCGTAGTTTTTCAGCTACTGTCATTGATTCCTTGTGTTGTGGGACCAAAACAGCGGCGATCGGGTCTTTTTATAACTGCAGCGAACAATACATACGACTGAGATAAGTTTTTTCGGACAGAAAGGATCAGAAGATGTGGTTTAACTCGGTGATAACTTCTTCCGTAGTTTCCGAGCGCTGACAGAATGTAGACGAGCAAAAGAGCCGTTTGTTTTCTGAATAGTTTTATTACTTGAATTCCAGTATTGTGAGGTAACTAATGGGATTCTCAAGAAATGGGTCCCTGCTCCTCTGACCTGCATCTTTGTACCTCCAGGGTTATTACGATCCAACTAAAACCAAGATTGTCCATCTGTCGATGAATCCATCCAGTGTCGCTAAACAACAGCGTGGGGAGGAGCTGGAAAATCTGCGGAAGGAGAACGAATATCTGAAGAGGAGACTAACGGTCGTGGAGGAGGGAGGCGGCAGCCCTAATGACACCAGTCTCCTCGGCAAGCTCGGTCCTGAGACTGCACCAAGTGTGTTCAAACAAGTGGAAGGTTAGCCTTTAAGTCCCTGGTATGCGGGTAGACTCTCCAGGGCACTGCGGCTCAAGCGCCGAAGCAGCGAGAAACGAGCCAAATAAGAAACCTGCGCATTTAAGTCTCCCGGTTCCGCCGCTCGTGCTACAGCGCCTGTGAGAGCCCCCATGCATTATCTCATTCATTACTCATAGGACGCTAGTTAATACCTAATCATTGCTCCTTATTTAACACGGTTATGAGGGCAGCTGCCGGTCCTATCAAAATCTTATTATCTTCCTTCTGAACAAGGTTGAGATTTTGTCATTTTCTCAACAGATTTTAAAGCACAGTTGTCCTCGGCAGAGATGAAAAATCAGCGCTTAAAAGAGGTAAAACAAAGAAGAGGTTTGTTGCAACAGTTTAAATGAATCGCATGTAAGCGTACTCGTGTACCATGCGTGCCACAGAAGTCAGAGCACACTCGCTCTCTAGAACAAACTTGTAAGAAAAAGTGTAACGCAATCTTTTCCAGCGTGTTAACATGTCACGTAACGTTTTACTGTTAGGTTTTCAAGAAGAAGATTCAAGAATTTCGTGAGGCTTGCTATGCCTTAACAGGCTACAAGATTGATGTCATTCGAGACAATCAGTATCGGCTTCAGTCCATGTATGCTGAGAGATCTACGGACGATCTGTTATTTGAAGTAAGTTCTACAGCAACAGAATATCAACAATATTCTCTTGTTCTACAGTTGATTAAGCTTACTGTACATCTAAACGTTGGTAACGAACTGAAGATGTTTTTGAGACATGAGCGGCAACGGTGTTATATCATATCCAATTTTTTTGCTTGGTAAATCCGTGTTTATTTTTTAAGCTATTTTTAAAGAAAAAGTATTTTAACGAAAATTTGACTTTACCTGATAACTGCCTCGTGTTTGACCTTGTCGCGTTTTTTCCTTTTTTTTTTCCAGAGCAATGTTAAAGGTGAAATGATGTTGCTAGCCACGGATTTTTCCTCTCAGCTAACGGATCAAATATCGACTTATTTGAACAGATTTAACTCCATCCCGGCCTTCCTGAGTAACATCACACTAGAACTGTTTAACAGACAAACTCAAACTATAGTTATTAACTGATATTTCGTGCAGTCCTGCAGAGATTGATGTGCGTCACTCGCGCTGAGTAACGACTTGCAAATCTTGAAAAATTTTGTTTAGTTTGCCGTCTACAGTCCATGTCAATTTTGTCCATCCTGCACCATGTTTGATGTCCTCGCTGGAGTTCTCTGTTTTCTTCCCCCTAAGGTACTGATAAAAGACGTCAATTAACCTTCGTAGAGGGCAGGGAGCCAATCAAGAAATCGTAGAGCCAGTTAATATTCCTAACTCTTTCTTCCCTTTTGAACGACGCCCTCTGTATCACTCCCGTTTCTCAACTGTGAAATTCAGTCGCGGATAGTGTAAGATAGTGAGATCCTTATGACGAACCCGGAAGCTATCATAGCTAGAGTTACTCATCTCAGAGGGGCTTTCAATTAATTTGGTAACCCTCTATTGGACTTAATCCAAATAAATCATAGCCAGAATGAGCCAATCAGAAGTCGAGGTTAAAACGTGCACCAGTGATAAGCGCGGGAAGCGTGCGTCAACGCTTCTTTTTGGGCTAAAATTTAATTTGCGCTTACCAGTCAGGTTAAAGCTCCGGGAAATACAATTTAAAAACGTTGCAGTCTCCTGACTGCCAATCGGAGTAATCTTGCTTTATTATCGTATAAAGCAAATGTTACAACCTTAAATCATTCCTTTTACCATGGCTTCTTCTTTTATTATTTGTAAATATTTTGTGTATGACATGTAAATAAAAGTTAACTGTCAATCTCATCAGAAGGCAAAGTCATCACTTACAGTTTTTAAGAGATGCGTAGAAGGAAGATCAACAAAGATTCATCCCTAAACTTCCAAACATCCTTATGCTCAGTCGTCATACTGTTATCATACATTTCCTAAGGTGCTTACAAGGCGAATTTGTTTTACAATCAGAGAAATGATTTATTTCATGAAAGTAGCCTACTTAGGTGTCAGTTACTGACTTCTTCTAAGCAGCGGACGACGACAATAGGATATTTGGGGCTCGACTACGCACGCGTTTTAGCCTGAATGGAAAAAGGGACTATTCGGGTGGTTGCAGAAGCAAAAATGGTTGCAGAGCCAGAGACATACAAATTAGAGTTTGTCTTGTGTACATGACATCTTTTTGCCGAGCGTTTGCTTCAAACGTACTTCCTCTAAACTTAGTTCGAATTATGTTTTCGTAATGGCCTAATCGCTCCCTCCCCCTGGTTTTTTTCCCGCCACATGGAACCGAGGCTTGTCCAGCGGCCTTCAGCCCGTCTAAACAGCAAAGATACTTTTTCCTCGATTGCTTTGATTGCTCTGCGGAGGTCGTAAGCGGATAATTGGCAATAAAGTATCAGTTATGTATTTCTTTTTATCTCAGAATATTCTTCCTGTCGTATTTGCCGTGCTAGTGGTATTGATTACTTGGTACCTATGGCGAAGAATGGTTAAGGGGCCAGGGTCGAATTCTGGGGAAGAAACACACTTAGTGACGGTAAAACAGAAGGTGAGTATTTTAGTTGTGTTCGCTGTCTAAGCTATCGTCATCTTTATTTTCTTATTAATGAAGATTTTATGTGTACTTGCTCTTTCCCTCTGGCTTATTTATACGAATTCTGAATGAAAAACAAATCGTTTCGAAAAACTCCCCTTGGCTGCGAACAACCCTTAAACACGAGAGCGATGTCTGTTGTTTCGCTTTTTAACGATCAAGTTTAATGAAGAGGACTTTCTGATTATTTCCATATTTATTCATCGTGTTCTAAAAATTAACCAGTTTAAAATCATCTGTTTAAAATTTTTTCCTGGCGAAAGTCGAATTTCTACGTAGTATATGTCTCCTATTCGTCAAAAAAATTTGAGACATGAATAAATGTGAAATTAAAATGATGATCCAGCGCATGTGATTTAAGCAGCTCGATTCAAGTTCAATTCCTGTAACTTTTTTATTTCCAGCCGTAAATTCTTCAAAAGGATTGTATTTCCTAACTCGTTAACCATAAAGCAGATGTTGTATATTTTTACTGTCATAAATAGAGTATTGTGTGAGGAAATGTCAATCATTTCATCATTGTTATTGTATCCGTCAAGAGTTTTTCATGTCATTAAAATATGTAGATCATTTTCCTAAGTGTAACATTGGACTAGCTATTATTGAAACCTTGCTGTCAAACAGACAAACTCTTGCATTGTTCATTAAAAAGCAGTAAGTATGTGCATCATTTGCTCTGCTTTGATTCCAAGAATACTGTTGAACCTTGATTATTCAGATTTATGGGGACTGGTTGAACCAGTCCTGATAATAGAGAGTCTAGATAACCAATACTATGAATATTGAAACATAAAATGAACCTGAATAACGTGAAATAAAATATTTATTATTTAATTTGTATCATGCAAGAATTAAAGCAAATTCTCAAATCTTTCCATGAATTGTCAACATTTGCTAAAAGTTTTAATTAAAGGGAATCAAGCTGACCAACACACTTAACAGTGACCTAACTTATGCTTTGGCTAATGAAAAAAAGAAGTAGCAGATTTCGAATGTGACCAATCAATATTTAATTTAAAAATGGGACCAGAGAAACAAGTCCAGATAATCGAAAAATTTGGATAATCCAAGGTCTGCATAACTGAAGTTTGACCGTAATACAGTTCCTTTGGAAAGCATGCCTTTTGTCCACCATCGCAAAATACAGAAATATAGTATGGCTTTTTACCACCACTACTTTTAAAGTTATGATTTTAGAATTTCAAACTGCATAATGAATATGCTGTTAAAAGCTCTGTGAATTTTTAATCGTAAGAGTTTTGTTTTGTATAAGTTTCTCAAGAGGGGGCAACTTATGAAAAAGGTGATTTAAATGTGTTTGTCCCTCAGGTTTTAAATATGTCCCTTAAATTAGCATTAGACTTAAAGATTCCCTTGGGAAACTAATTAAAACTGTTGTATAAGGAGGTTAGTTTCCAAAAAAACTGTGGTGCTGCAGTGGTAGGGGTTGTTACAAGATAATTTGGCTTTATCGACTGAGTTGCTAATCTGAAGCTAACACTTTGACTGTTAGCCCTTCCCCATTCACTCTGTTGAAGAGCTAACATTCAGAAAGTCAACTTTAGAAACTTGTTATGGTGGTTAATTTACATTATCAACTCAGTTAATAAAACCAAAATATCTTAGTAAAGCTTCGTTGTTTCCTGATGGAAATATAGGATGATGATAACAATGAGGTGACAGTTGAGGAGGCTACAAAGTTTCTGGAAGGAGCAGGAATTATAAAGGCAAAAGATATTCATTACCTCAGTGAGGATGAAAAAGAGAAGATTTGTAGAGAGTCTAGTGAACCCATCTCAGAGGAGCCAGAAAAGAGAAAGGAGAAAGAAATGACAATGGCAGATGCTTCCAACATTCAGACTTACTACAAGTCAAGTCGATTGGGTATCAAAGATATTGAAAACCAAATGACTGAAGAGGAATTGGATCAAGAAAAAGAGTGAGTGCCAAAATAGATTTTAAGTACTGTAAATGGATGTATGTCTATTGGATACAAGACTGTTGTTTAAGCTGTTTAGCATAGCTAAATTAGTGAAGTTCAGATCTAGCTATTGTTATTGTTGATAAGCTGTCTACTAGGTTGTGTGTTGCAGATTACAAACGACTACTACACTTTAGTCAGCTTTCTTGTCTTTCCAGTGTGTTCTAATTTGTTCCTTGTGATATTTTCATTTGCTCAGATCAGCTTAAGTGTCTGCTTCAGTTTTAGTCTTACAACACCCAATTAAAAAGCACTTTAATGAGTTAACATATTTTTCAGGGTCAAATGAGAACCTACATGTCCAATTTCCGTCCCAATTAAAACTAGAGCAAAATTCTTGAATGGGAATTGTTATCATCAGCCTGATTTGAGCACTAATAGGACAGTGTGCCTGTCATGCTTGTAATTGGACAGTGTGATATGATAGTTGACAAGTCATGTCTATGTAAGTGGACAGTACACATGTCATGTGTATGCACTGTCTTTGCACATTTCGTTGAGTTATCTGTCATTCGTTTATGAAAACGCATCACTGACATCTAGTTTCTCTCTTGAATATTGCTATAGTTTTGATTTGTAGGTAACAGGACTTTGTGTCATCCAATTCTTTCTGTAACGATTCTTGTGATTAACAAAGCAGGCGACCGCAAAGAAGGAGTCCGATTTGTTAATCAGGATTTTTTTCATCACTGGTATGATTACAAAACAAATTGGACTCCACTCAGTCCTATTACTATTATTAAGTCACTGTTGGTAGTTTAGGTTATGTAGTTGCTCGCTCCAATTCTGTTTCAATGGAGGAAGATTTTTTTTTATAAAGATAGTTATTCCTTCTCTTTGTAATCTTCAAAGGATGCAGAGGAAACAGCTGGAAGAGATTTTCAAGCTGCTAGAAAATGATAAGGACAAGTATGGTGTAACAACAATGGATGATCTACAAGCACAGATGAAGTTATACACGAGATAGTACTCTAATAATTAACTTGTTATTTTGTGTAAAGAGATCAGGATAACTCAAGCAGTTGTTCTTATTTTGAAGTCATCAGTATGTAAAAATAATTTATTTGCAGGGTTGACTTAATTACATAAACTAAAGAGTATGTTTTCTGTTTTTATTTATATATTTGTTATTGTTTTACTTTTATTATTAGAACTAAAGGCTGTTTAAAACAGGTCATTTTAAGGTTCTACACTATGAAGGTAGAACTTAAATGCAATTTAAACTTTCTGATATTTAAGGAATCCCTTTGTTTTAGATATTTATTTTCAATGCTTTAACAAATCATTGAACTCTCTTCTGAATTTTTGCATCTTATTAAGTTATTTCCTCCAGAGGCAATCTTTGACTTCTACTTAACAATTGGTTCATATGTCAGCGAGTGTTCATCGAGATATGAAGCACACGGGAAGTTTGGAGAGCATGAAAGATGCGTAAGAGTTGCTAGAGGCGTAGCCGAGAGCAACTCTAGCTTCTTGAGTGCTCTCCAAACTTCCCGCATGCTTCATATCTCGATAAACGCACAGCTGATATATGAACCAATTGTTTCATAACATTTTCAACCTGATGGAAAATTTTTTTTCTTGAGGGATTTGTTTGCTGATGTCATGAGCGTGCACAATAGGAATATGAAGCACGCTTGCGCAATTGAATTTGATTACACAAATATACTGGCTATGTTATAAAAGAAATTTTGGCATAAAATTTCAGGTATCAAACTTGTATCACACACTATTTTATATTTCATTATACTTTGTTTATTTAACATATTGTAAGGAGTAATTTTTCTTAAAACTGCCACTCATGTCATGACTGTTTTCATGAAATGAGTTATATTCCTGAAATTTTAGATACCTCCATCATCATTAGGTAGTTTGATCTCAGGTTCAACCCTTTATTAACATTCAAATGGTAGTTGAGTTTCAGTAATACCACTGTTTTGGAGCATTCATGAGATCACCTGTTAATAATTAACAATATGATGTTTTTTCCACGAGGTTGATATGATTATTTCCAAAACCTTACTGTTGGAAACACTTAATCTTTGTTCATTGTGGCACTTAAAGCCATACCCACCAACAGGCATTTGTTATGGTAGATACCCCATATATATGATACTCTACCCAACTAAATAAGGTACCACAGGTACCCCAAAAGATTAATATCTTCTGTTTGAAGTAACTCTAACTGGTATTTGATTTAAAGGGGTGTTTTATTAGCCAAAGGTCAAAGTGAAGTGGAAGGCATTAGCTGCCAGATATATTGTTTTAACTTGACTTTACATTTCTATCTTGTCAAAGTTTTATAACACAAAAAGTATCTATTACATGTTAGTAATATTTGAAGTAATTTTCCGATGGTACACTTGCTTTGCGAGCTTTGTTCAGAAATATGTTATACAAAAGAGACATTCTTGTGATAAGATTTGTCAATTTCCATTGAAAAAATTGGAAATACATATAAAGAAGTAGAGCTGGGTCTTACTGATAATTTTATATAATTTTTAAAGAAAGAATGAGCTGTGACCTGAAGTTGTACATGATTCTTCATGTTGCAAATAGAGAAAAGTTAAACTGGTGTGTAGAAACATTTGTCAGTAAGTGTTTATCGCTTTGTGAAAGTGGAAATATCTCCATAAGTAGCTGATTGACTTGATTAAGCCCCATAACCTGGTTAGTAAAGGAATGGGCGCAGAATAGCTGGTCTGATTCGAAAAACTGTGTATAGTGGAAGCTCATGCATAGCAAATTATGTTTAAAAATCCTACAGGCTGAAATTTGTAAACTTAAGCTCACAAAAACAAAATGAAAGAGGTCCCAATCTACTAAATATTACAGAATACTGGTGAACAACATCTAGTTGTTATGTGAAAAAACAAAATCAATAGGCAGGAAAAAAAAGTACTATCAGTCCTAAATTAAGGTTAAGGGCCAATAATTCACTGGTTTTCACATATCGTAGAATTATTACCTTAATTGACTAACTATCAGTTTTTTTAACTTAAAGTTTAGAAGCAAAGGTATCTCAGAAACTTATCAGCCTGAGTTGTTGATATCCATACATAACACATAGAGTGAATTCCATCCTATCACTGATAGAACAGGATTTATTACACGAGTTTTTCAACCCTGTGAACAGAATCCCCTATTTTTAGTCCATGAAAAATTTTGGAGAGAGTGAGGGTTCCTACCTTCTCTTTGGAAGATTGGAGGCAACTTTGTTGACACATAAGCTTTTTTACTGTAGTGAGGTGTGTTTTTTCAGGTTTATATATATCAAGTATCAGCATTCAATATTGATTTAATGGAAACTGTTTTCTATTTTACTCAGGCAACAGTATGCTTTAAGATTAGGATTTAACAGTTTTATTTGCTTTATCAAGTTGTAACATGTTACGCCTAATGTAAGACTGGCGTTAACGATATTAGTTTTTGAAAATAATCGAATCTTTATCCGAAGCTAATTTGTGTTTCAGTCTTGGTTTGAGTTTTTCAGTTGATTAGAATAATGAAAGAGAGTTCCATTTGTTATTACTCAATGTTGATGAGGCCCAAAATATATCATGACGAATTCGTGTCCATACTTCTATCCTAAACTCAGAGAGTAAAACTTGTTGCTTTAGCGCTCCAGTTTGGCCTGGGTACAGATGTCTCCTAGTTCCTTTCCATAGGAAACGTTTGCATGCCAATCATTTCCAGTGATTGAGTATTTCATCGTAACTGAATAACGTAGCTTTTGAGGACCAGTGTTCAAGCGTAATAAGCTAGCTGAAACTGGACTCTCAAATGAATATATGAGAAGATCACTGCGGCATTAAAAAAAGTAATAATAAAAAGAAAACAAGAAAACGAAAGAACTGATTTGGCACGATTGTCGTGTTGTTTACTTTCGTACGATTACGTAGTACAACCAAGTACACACCCCTTCAAATTCACGTGAACAGTGTCATCCAACTTAAAATTTAATTTTCCAGTAGAGTATGCCACTTACGTTTCAAGATTGTACTGTATATTTTATTACGAATTTTTGAAATTTTCGTTCCCATACCTATTACAAGCAACAAAATTAATATTTCCTTACAGTTACTCTTCGTAGTTACGAACGCTACGTCCTAGTGACGTCAGTCTACGCATGCTCTATATTTGTTTTCTGCCGTACCTGACCGATGACATGTTAGAGATACGAAGCGGAAAGAGTTTGAAGAAGTTTCCGATTTTTTACGCAAGAATATGACAATTGTTTGGCGTTGTCAGCGATAGCAGGTTTTTTATTTCAGTCAAGAAATTGTGCTCTCTTCTTTCATCCGTGTGGAGCTGACGTAGAGATGTTCCACAATCGTTCAGCGAGTCTTGGAGAACTTCATGGAGGTCACGGCGTACGTGAAGCAAGCGAGGGGGAGGAGGCTAATTTGGAGAGGTCCAAGAGTTCTAGACATCTTACGAAGAAGAAGAGTTTTAGGTTTGGGTCCAGAGATTCTGTCGGAGGAAGGAAGTTAGTCAGAAAGCCATCGATGAAGTCTGTTTCGAACATGGTTCACAAACTGATGATCCGAATGTCTGCTGTACAATTTCCTTCGAACTCTGCATACTCGACCTCTTCGATCGGTAAGATAGACGAGAGTGCATCGTACAAGAAGAAGAATTTTGACGTCGATGAAGAAGCTGCGTCGAAAATTCGGAGAAGTAAATCAATGGAGGTCCTCAGTATGTCTGGACTGAAGAATCATGGTAACACTTGTTTTATGAACTCAATCATTCAGTGTCTCGCTCACACCGATTTATTAGCTGAATATTTTGTTATGGACCAGTATAAGGAAGATTTGAAGCTCCGCAAAGGACAAACTAAGAAATTCGGAACTCGCGGTGAAGTAACGGAGAAACTGGCACTTTTACTCAAGAGTTTGTGGTCGAGTCAGTATAATTCGCAGATCAGCAGCGATTTCAAGTCGATCGTTGGAAAATATGGCGTGCAGTATCGAGGATACGCACAACATGATGCCCAGGAGTTTTTGCTTTGGCTTTTAGATAAGGTTCACGAGGATTTGAATCGGGCAACGAAGCGAAAATATAAAGCCAACAAGGTGAGGATAAGTCAAAAATACTCTCTAAATTTGTATTGGTTAGTCCATTTTTACGATACGACACTTCGGTGTCGATCAAATTACTCGCATGTCTCATGCAATTATGTACGTGGATTTTGATTTTGTCAAACAGGTTCACTATGGCAAGCAAAACATCGCATGTTTTTCTTTCAAATGGTTCTTTGTTTTCACAATTTGCGTAAAATTCATTGATTGGGGATCTATGCAAGATAAAATCTTCCATGTTTTGGCTTTTAACCAATATTTAAAAAAACTGTGCAATACTTTTCTGTGTTTAAATACTACTACAATGTTCACCAGGGCCACGTTACGATGTCTTATTTACACGTAAATCGACCATTGCGAGAAATATAGCTAACTAAAAGATAAATCATGGTACTTTTTCCGTATTTCTTTGCATCATATTGAAGTCTGAAATGAAAAGGCACTTGATCGATTGAAATTTCATTTTCGTTCTCTATAAATACTCTACACGATTGAGAAAGCTGAGTGGTCGTGATCGCTTAGCAATTTATTATTTGCCCAACATGTCAGAAAGCTTGAAGTGGAAAGTTTGTAGATATTTTTGCCAGCTATCTTGCTAGATTTTAAACAATTCGGCGAAATCAAAATATAGTTTGTGCAAATGTCTGCAATGGAAAGCTTATCCCTTTAATCTGATAAACCGACAGCGACGTAAAAATTTGAAATATGAAAACATTTAAAGTGGGTGTTAACTTTTGTGAAAATATCTTTAGTCACTTTTTGCGATTAATTCTCTTTTATTTCTCACGCCATGATGTAGATGGTGTAAAGCTTTGTTTAAATAGATTGTTCCACCAGGATTAGGTCCTTCGTGATCAGTTGATCACTGACACTGAGCAAGATCATTAGCATCTTGAAGCATGAAGTGACAAAAGGTTCATGTCGTCTTTGATGTCAAATTTTTTTCTTTTTTGCAAAAACTTCACAAAGGAATCTTACTACTTTTGCATGAAGTTTATTCAGATTAGCCCAGCTGTGGCCAGTGCTTCTATTCTTTGCAGAGAGAACATTTTGCCATCAAACAAAAGATATTTCTAGAAGATTAAATAAAAAGAGCATTGTTCAAAATTACCAGAAATTAACATTATAAAGAAAGCTTTAACTAGATCCATGGGTTTGCCCTTAAGTGGGGTAAATTTAGCATGCCTTTTCATGCACCACTGATTCTAGATTGATGTTAGTTAAAATATATCAACCCAATAATTCATAACCTTAACATTGTGATTAAAATACGAGCTGGTAATACACTGAAATATTGAAAGGATTGAGACCTCCTTGTCTTACTCATATACATGCTCTTTCACATCAGCCATTCTTCAAAGCAGAAAGTTGCTATTCAGAAATTTTTGTGCTCTATCTAATCAATTATATCTATTGATAGATATGTGAGTATCTTTTGTCAAATGGAGGTTAAAGTTATCTAAACAGATGTCTTGAATTATTTGCAGCATTCCTGGTTATTTAGCCACCCTTTTACTGATTTTATCCCACTGTAAACAAGAAATACAGTTATTGGGGTCATGTTTATGCATAATCCTGAAATTAATCGATAGATCAAACTTTTTTTGTTTTGGTCTTAAGTTTATCAAGTTATCATCTTAATTTCAGGAAAGTTCAGGAAGATCTGATGACACCATTGCCCTGGAGGCACTTGCTAATCACACTCGCTGCAATGATAGTTTTGTCCTGGATTTATTCCAAGCTCAGTATCGCTCATCTCTCAAATGTCCCAAATGTCATCAACAGTCCACTACTTTTGATCCATTTCTATGTCTTTCTTTACCCATCCCTCAAAGGGAAAGCCGTCCCATCATTGTCACCACAGTATTCGTTAACTCATCAAGGGTTCCTTTGCGCATCGGTGTCAGCGTACCCATAAATGGAACAATTGCTGATCTGCGGAATGTTGTGTCAGACATGACAGGCATCAGCGAACAATCTTTGATTCTCACAGAACTTTACCATGATGGATTTCACAGAACGTTTCATGATAAGCAGTCTTTGAGCATTGTTCATGAAGGAGACAATATTTATGCTTTTGAGGCTCCCAGTGGACTTTTTCCTGAGATGGAAACAGAAGATGGAGAGGCACCTGTCATGTCAGATAATAAGGGACCGATTTCAGATACTATTCTGATCCTCCTGGCAAACTGCCAGGGTCCTGCAAAAACCACATCAAGTAAAAGGTAACTGTGTTGGTGGAGCCTGTGTTGGTGAAGCATGTTCCTGACTAGAAGGGTTGTGTTTTTTTATAACAAAGCTGTTTTTGGAGTCTTTTGTCCTAACCATGATGACCCCTTCAATCTTAAAGTTGTTTGTTGGGTGTAAGGTGTTAATGTTCACCACAACGGCCAAAATTTCTCTTCTGTTAAATTTTTAAATGTCAAGTATACTTCTTCGTGTCAAAATCCTTTCTATCCTTAAAATGTGTGCTGCTCTTGAAATCTGATCATATCATTGTTATCAATATCATACTGTTGCAGGGTGACTAAGTGTTATCAACTGAGTAAATAATGTAAATTGGCCACTGTAAAGAGTTGTCAAGCTGATGTTTTGAGCATTAGCCTTGTGTCAGAGTAAGGGGTTAATGCTGGAATGATTCGCTCTGATGAAGGGCTAACACTCAAAACATCAGCTTTGAAACTCTTTACTCAGTGATGATATTTAATTACCTTGTTTTATACTCCCACTGATGTAGTACCACAGTTTCTTTAGAAACTTACCCCCTTTATTCTTACTGTTGCAGGTTTGGTCTTCCCTTTATTGTAAGAGTTCTCAGGGAGCTAAGTTATGAAAATCTTCAAGCAGCAATCTTGAAAGCCATGTCAAGGATTTTAATGGACGACATGTCATCACAGGTAAGAATTGAATAGGAAAAGATCCTGGAGTAACAACTTTTGATTGTATGTGTCAACCTTAATTACATGATTAAACATTTCATCAGATCAAGAAGCAAGGCTTGGTGTTCAGACTGAGAGTGATCAATGGTTTGCCAGGCAAAGGTGCACTTTCTCCTGAAGTGGATCATCCCTTATATCAGGCAACTGTTGACAGGTGGGTCTTGCACCTGTTTTGATTTTGAAAAACAGTTGACA